TAAGTACTGGCGTTTCTCGACTAGCGGTAACATTGCCATTGCTAGTGCGCCATCCCTGGGAGGACCATGGGAATATGAAGGCGCGTTGTTGCAAAACGGTACCAGCATCCAGGTCCATCCGGATCAAGACATCTGGGTAAGTTCATTCTCCCTCTACTAGATCTTAATCTGCCACGCATCATCCTAACCAACACAACAGGCACCTTCAGTAATGAAGCGAGGCGATACCTTCTACTGCCACTACTCCGTCTCCCGAATCGGTCTCCAAAACTCCTCCATCGGCGTCGCAACGTCGCAGTCCCTCGAACCGGGTAGCTGGCAAGACCACGGCGACATCGGCCTCCCCCTATCCGACAAGTACAACCTCATCGACCCCTTTGTCTTCCAAGAGACGCCCAAAGACCCCATTTACTTCACCTTCGGCTCCTTCTGGGACGACATCTTCCAGGTCGAGCTTTTCCCGCACGACGACCTCATGGCTTTTGGCGGGTGGGCCGAGCAGAATAACCGCATCAATAACATGGTGCGGAATAGTACTTACGGGGCTACCGTCGCTGAGGGCGCTATAATGTGGAAAGAAGAGGACTTTTACTACATGTTCTACAGCGTGGGTATGTGTTGCAATACGCCAGAAACTCCAGGAGGTCTTGCTCCTGAGGGTCAGGTATACCACGTTGTTGTATGCCGCTCGGACGTTCCTACTGGGCCTTTCTACGATCAGGATGGCAAGAGTTGTCTTGAAGAGAATGGTGGTACGACGATTCTGGCTAGCCATGGCGATGTCTATGCACCTGGTGGACAGGGCGTTATGGTCAACCCTGAGGATGGGAGGACTGTGTTGTACTATCACTATGGTAAGCAAAAGACTGGATACGATGCGTTGAAACCAAGCTAACGTTGATGCAGTTCGTCCCAGCGTCGGCTATGCAGCTGATCAGTTCTTCTTTGGATACAACTATCTTGATTGGGAAGACGGCTGGCCGGTCGTTGTTGTTGCTTGATTGACTGCCATTCTGCCACAACTAACGCCTGTTCTCTTCCCATTTTCCTGAATTCTTGGAGCGCCGCGTCGGTAACGGTCTCTGGGATGGCCATTTCAGGATTCACGATTTACGACTAACGACCTTACGACTAAGACTGTACTAGACGCAATGCTTGATGTGTGTTGATGTAGGATGTGGTTTGCCGGAGGCTTTCGGCGAACTGATGAGATTACTGTTGGACCATGGCTATGGATATAGTTCTGACTCTTTATCGTAAATATTAGTTTGTAGTATTGTTGAGTCTCCAGCTTTCAGATAACGTGTCTTGCAGTGCCATGGGCAGCTCATGGGATCCATCTCACGATGTCTTGAAGATGCACTTCAACCCACTCGCTCCTCTTTGTCAAAGCTCCCAGATCATCAGACTTTTCTCTCAGCTCATGCGCTGCATACTAGCCTTTTCTGCCGCGCGGACGCGCTTAGTTTCGGAAGTGGGATGAAGCAGCCGGAGGGCCGACTACGCGGGGTAAAAATAACTCCCATGGTCATGATGTCGCGCATGCTGAATCTGATCAATTGGTTTTACCGAGGAGACAAGCTTCTTGTAGTGCTATGGTAGTGGCATCAGGAACCCAGTGCTGGATCGCTTTCGGGTTGTTATTCCCAGCCCCCGGGCTGATTGTAGCCTCAACCGCGATGGACGCTTGAGGGAGGTGCATGATGGCTATTGCTCGGAAAGGCTAGCCGCCAATGACGTCACCAATCGGTCCCTCCGGCGGCTGAGATCGCGCCATGCCTATTTACCTGCCAAGTGCAGCGCAGTGAATACAGGTTATTCCATCCTTGTGGGTCAGTACAAGACCAGTGCACGCGACCGATCGCCTCTCCGTCGCCTACGCCTCACTCCCCAGCCTCCCTCTCCAGCCTCACCATCTCTACCATCGCTACCCCGCGCGATTGCTGATCGCTGCGCACGGTCGCCAACATGCCTTCCCAAGAGAAGGGCCTCAAGAAGCTCTTCCATCCCTTCAACCATCGCGCTTCTGAGAAGATTGAGGAGATTGAGCAAAAGCTCGAGCACACCAAGTTACGAGGTGCGCATATTAAGGCTGTGCACATCAAGCATAAGATCGGCAAGTTCACCAACCTCTTCAATGCCAACCATCGCCACGACGAGGAGCATGAGAAGGAGACGGACGCCAAGAGGAGCAAGATCGCGGAGAATCACCGCTTCCATAGCTTTGCGCCAGAGCGCGACAACAACTTGGTGAAGTGGTATGTCGATGGTAGGGATTACTTCTGGGCCGTTGCCGAGGCACTGGAGCAGGCCAAAGAGACCATCTACATTGCGGACTGGTGGCTCAGCCCTGAGCTCTTCCTGAAGCGACCGCCCTACTATAACCAGCAATTTCGACTGGACCAAGTACTCAAGCGCCGTGCAGCGGCTGGTGTGAAAATCTATGTTTCTGTGTACAAGGAGGTGAGGTCATCAATCTGCGTCGAATAAATAGCAGCTTATACTTACTCAGGTTTCTGCGGCTCTCACATGCAACAGCCAGCACACCAAGAAGGCACTCATGGGCCTGTTTGAAGAAGGCGAACCTGGGTACGGAAACATCAAGGTGATGAGACATCCCGACCACAACGTTTTCGAGAATGCTTCGGACATGACGTTCTACTGGGCGCATCACGAGAAGTTCATCGTCATCGACTATGCTATGGCCTTCATCGGTGGACTGGACTTGTGCTACGGCCGATGGGACGACAAGCAGCACCCGCTTGCCGATGCCCACCCGTCTGGTGTTCAAAACCAAATCTTCCCGGGTCAGGACTACAACAATAACCGTATCATGGACTTTGAGAGCGTTGATGACTGGAAATCGAACAAGCTGAACAAGCTCGAGTTCGGTCGCATGCCATGGCACGATGTCGCAATGGGTGTCATTGGCCCAGCGGTTTACGACATCGCTGAGCATTTCGTCTTGCGATGGAACTTCGTGAAGCGAGAAAAGTACAAGCGGGACGAGAGATACGACTGGCTCACCATGGAAGGACGTGAAGGCGCCGACGAAGATCTGATCGGAGTGCAACGGCCCAAGTTCCCTGTTGGCCAATATGTACATCATCCCCTCACGCAGCTGAACAGCAAGAACCTCGACAACCGTGGAACTGTACATGCGCAACTAGTCAGAAGTAGCGGCGACTGGAGTATGGGCATTGATCCTCATGAGCAGAGTATCCAGAACGCATACTGTGAGGTTATCCGTAAGGCGCAACACTATGTCTACATTGAGAATCAATTTTTCATCACGGCAACGGGTAAACACGACCAAAGCCCTGTCCACAACCAGATCGGAGCTGCAATGGTCGACGCCATCGTTTCAGCAGCTAAAGAGCAGCGCAACTTCAAAATCGTCATTGTCATTCCAGCAATCCCAGGATTCGCGGGAGATCTGCGAGATCAGGCCGCTGCTGGAACACGAGCTATCATGGACTATCAATTCAAGAGTATCTGTCGAGGAGAAGAAAGCATCTACGGACAGATCAAAAAGGCTGGTGTCGATCCAGAAAAGTACATTTTCTTCTTCAACCTTCGTTCATACGACCGTATCAATGTCACACCCACGCTTAAGGAGCGCGAGAAGAAGTCCGGGAAGTCTTACATGGATCTGGAAGCAGCTGAAATTGACGAGCTGGAAGCACCGCCGGAAGAGGGAGGAGACGAGGCACGACGCAAAGCTGCTGAGATGAGGAAAGCGTACATGGACGAAGAAGAAGACGTGGGCAAAGGCGATCAGGGTGGTGTTATTGACCCAGACTCGATTGCCGACGACGCAATGCTTACGGAAAAGAAGCCCAGCGAGGAAGCCTGGGAAGGCGAAGAAGAGGAGGAGAAAGAGCACTTCTTCCAAGAGGAGCTCTACATCCACGCCAAAATCTGCATCGTCGACGACAAGACCGTAATCTGCGGATCTTCCAACATCAACGATCGCTCCCAGTTGGGCTTCCACGACTCCGAGCTCTCCATCGTCCTACAAGACACCGCAGAGATCGACATCGAAATGGACGGCAAGCCCTACAAAGCCGCAAAACTCGCCCACGAACTCCGCAGCAGCTTATGGCGCGAACATCTCGGCCTCCTCCCACCCCAATCCCTCAACGCCGCCGACGACCCCAACGCGCAACCCCCCGGCGAAAACTCACCAAACGACCCCATGCCCGGCCCCGAAGCAGACTTTGTCTCTGACCCTCTGTCATCCAAACTCTGGGACGAATGGACCGAGCGCGCGACTACCAACACCGAGGTGTTCAGGTCGCTGTTCCACGCTGATCCTGATGACAACATCCTCACGTTTGAGGACTATGACAAGTTTACGCCGAATCCGTCGGGTGATAAGGAACATAAACAGGGTCATTTGTATGACATGGTTAGGCCTGTTAAGGAGATTAGGGCGGAGTTGGATCGTGTCAAGGGGCATTTGGTGTGGATGCAGTTGAAGTTTTTGGAAAATGCGGATATGGCTGAGAGGGGGCTGCAGGTCAATTCTTTTACTGAGAGTGTGTATACTTGAGGTGGATACATGATGGTAGGAAGAGGTGGCTATGGGAGGTGACTGGCTGTTGGCGCTGGGCGATTAGACGAGTCGCATCGGTGTATCGTTCTCGTCGGTTGTCTTTTCTTTATGATTCCCTATTACGTATCCTCGACGTCTTTATGACCTGAATGAATGCATCTTCTTCTTATGAGAAAGTAGTGTGTTCCTTTTACTATGCAGCACATGCGATGACACGGCGACAAGGTAAAACCCGGATGAAGAACATGTGGAGACTGACAAGCTTGTAGTAGCCGACTCACATTACCGCGGAGGCCGTCAATTCCATACACACGGACACAAGTACACACAAGGAGCCAGTGAAGTCTTCAATCCCCGGTGTATTATGCTAAGTGTACAAGCAAACATCTTTTGTAGTCCTCAACCGACTTCTCCAAACACCAAACGTAATCTCTTCAACCCTCTATCGCCTCCTAACCTCCACACCACCCTCCCCTTCATCCTCCATCTCCTCATCGCCGTCATCAGCATCATCCTCTTCCCACTCCAAAGCGCCCGCAAAACCCCTCGTCTCACTCCCATTAGACACAAACAGACCCGTACCCGCCGAAGTAGGCACAGCCGACGAAGGTGCAGCAGAAGGAGACGCAATCAATGTCATCGCATCCTCCTCTTCACTGTCCGGCCTTTCCTCTTCTTGTCCCAGCCCAGACTCGGCGACGGACCGCTGTGTACCATCGTCCTCCCATGCCAACGCCGCCTCGAAATTTTGTGCTTCTGTCTCGTCGCGCACGAAGAGGCCGCCTGATCCTGGTGACGTGGGGGCGACGGACATTTGCTCGTCTTCGACTTGATGATCTGGTGGGTGGTCGAACTCTGAGTTGGAGTAGAGTGGGGATTGGAGGGTGAGATCCTCTTCCTCATCCGGTGGTTGTTCGAACTCAGAACCTGGGTATAGCGGCGACTGAAGGGTGAGGTCTTCGTGCTCATCATCTGGCCTCTCTTCGAATTCCGGAATTGGGTAGAGTGGGGATTGGAGGGTGAGATCTTGTTCCTCATCGTCGGTTTGGCCTTCATATCGTGGTTGTGGTGAAGGCCGGACGGCGGGGTACTGGAGGTCCGCGTACTCATCGAACGTTGGTGGAGGCAGGGGAGTGTTTTGCGCGTCGGAGTCGGATATGGGGTCGTCGGAGAGTTCCATCTTGTCCTCGTCCTGCGGCGGCGGCGGTAGAGGTGCGGTGGGCTGATGGGAGCCCGGATGCTGATCAGAGTCTACATCCATACTGGAATCATCGCTTGATGACTCCTCCGCAGATGAGATCTCAATTGGTTGACCGCTTGTACTGCCTGTAGTCGGCAGACGGGACGTAGATCCGCCAGCCGGTTGGCGAACAGCTGGTTGAGGAGGCAACATTGGGGCGACAGGAACGCGAACGGGTGCTGCTGAAGCTGATGTCGCAGCCGCGGGTCTAGCTACCGGTGCGTCTGAGCTTGGAAGAGGGGCCCTGTACTGTTGAGCATGTGTTCGTGGTCGAGGTGGAGCAGGCTGTAAGGGAATGAAGGTGAAAGGTGAGGAGAAGTACCTTGAGTTTGGGTACCGATCAGCCGGTATTGGTGGACCAATGGTGTATACATTGGTCGAGTTGGTGTTTGGTCGCTGGGAGGCTGGTCGACGGACGGCTGGAACGGGTTGAGCTGGTGGTGGTACTGGCCGAGGTGCAGGACGTTGAGATGGTGGTGGTGCGCGTCCACGTCCGCGTCCATGAGCAAGTCCACGTCGAGGTCCACCGCCAGGACGTATTGCTGGACGACGTGTAGGTGCGGGAGCAGGTGGAGCAGGTGTATCGTTCGCCGGAGGGTACTCGTAAACTCCTTGCTCGTTCATTGGCGGCAGCGGCGGCATAGTCCAAGGTACCACCGGCGAACCAGGCTCAGGCGTAGGGCTGGCTGGTGAAGGTGAAGGTTGCTTCCTCTTGTAGTAACCTCGAGGTTCATGTCGAGCCCTCGTGACGAAATGGGCAAAGAACAGTCTGTTGGCGCCAACGAAATAGATACCGTCATTCCAGTCCTCTTTCGTCAACAGTTCGTCCTCTACACAGTGTGTTTCTCGAGAGAAATGGAAGTGCAGTCTAAAGTAGCGTTCATCGCGGTTGAAAGCGTTGAACGTGTATTCGATGAGATCATCCCAGTCGCTCAAGTCAGACGCGCGTCGGCGGTATAAGTCAGGACCAATTGCAAAGTCTCTGACTTCGATCAAGGTAGGGCTGATGGTCGACATCTCGAATCGCGGTAGTGAGTATTGGGGTGGGAACTTGAAAATGGCAGAGTATATATACGAAGCTGAGTGACGAAGGAGAGATATCGCGAGCAGTTAGAGTTTCTTTGAGAGATATTTATTGTGCGCGTGCGTGTAGCGACTGCTAGTGGAAGTCACACGGACGCAAAGGCAACGACAAACGGGAAAGAGAGGGGGTAGAATGACATCAGAAGTCCGTGACCTGATTGTGTACCTAGTAATGACTGACTTTTGTATATACCAAGCACCCATATACGGTAAAGCGGCTTTCGCTCAGTGTTGAACACCGCCTTCGGGAACGTCTGTAGTGTCCGAAATGGAGCCCTCCTCGTCCTCGTCTTCCACATACGCAAGGGATTTTACGGTCTGCTTTGCTCTCCTCTTTCTCACTTTGCCTCCCGTATGACCAGCTGACCCATGCACCGCAGACTTCTCGTTTGACTCCTTCTTCGTCCTGATCATGTCTCTGATAGCATCAGGTATCTTCGAGAACGACAACGCTGCAAGCGGTCTCGAGAAATCCACGTCCTTCAGCGGGATCTGTATCTCACCATTCCTTTCCGTATGTCCAGTGTGTCGTGCGGGAACAAATGCAATGACGGCGTTCTTCTTATTCAGCATTGCACGAACAGCAGGACGTTTGTGTGGTGTAAGACACCAATGTTCCTTCGCATGGCCGATGACGACTCCTTGTTTGCACAGGCCTGGATGCTCGGTATCATCGACGACGACGAATGACACCTCAGATGTGGTAGCTTCAGAGACAACTGGTGGTGATGGACTGACGGTAGAGAGACGGGAACCCGGAAGGGTGTTCGTGTTGCGGGGTGCATTTCGCTCTTCGATCATAGCTTTTATGGCTTGTGTTCTCTCTTCACCAGACGGATACTCTTCTAGTTGAGGTGTATATTCCACGTGCGTCATCGCGATCTGTATAGCTCCTTTGGTTGCGCTCTGTTTTGAGTACTTCCTGGGAATGTAAGCCACTACAGCCCCGACTTTGTTGATTATAGCGCGAACGACAGGGCGGACATTGGGGTCAAGGCAGCTTTGTGGTAGGGCGCGCCCAATCACGACGCCAGTGTCAAGATGACTTTTGCTACTCGGGTCATCTACGGTCACCACCTCGTTGGCAGCAACCGGTAACGCGAGTGTGCTCTTGAGTGTATAGGTTGACTTGAGGACCGGCTCTGTATTGAAGGGGTTGTGTGGCAGTCCCTTTGGAAAGGGCGTAGACGGATCTTGCTTCGATTCCACGAGATAATCTTCGATGTCTTCCAAGAATTTTCTCTATGCCGTGTCAATCGAATCTTCCAACAAGCTTCAAACGACATTACCTTTGTTCGGAGACCCTGATCGCCATATGTTCCCCGGTACCATAGCTTATCCTCTTCCTCCGTCTCAAAAGAATTGTGTGCATCCATGCTAGATTCTGGCGGTGGTTCCACTTGTTCGAAGTGTACATATAGTACCAGTCTGCCGTCCACTACAAATTCAGGATCGAAGTAGCCTCCAGCATCCCATTCGCTCGGACTCATCCGGTCGTCGCAAGCATGATCGTCGAAATGAAGATGCGCGTTGTAGCGTTGCCACGGCTTGACGAAGATGTTGTGCACATTCGCGAGGAGTTCCTGTGAGCTTTAGCATGTGATGGCTCTTATCAAGTGCCCATGTCGAAGGCATGTGTGGAGGTAAGATACGGCGCATGCTAGAGCAGTAGCTGGACGACATACCCAGTAGTTGCGAGCTCGTCGGGCCGCAACACGATAGCTGATGTCTCGTCCGTTGAACTCGCGGACGAGTATCATCGGGAAAGACTTCATCTTGCCGTGGCGGGAATGTGAGTGTTGGGAGTGGACGGACAGAATTTTGTCAATGTGAGGCTTGATGTAGCCGATCGTGGTCTGGTGGCGACATCGCAGTGAGAGAGACGTGGCATGGAAGCGTGGCACGTGTCGACTTGAGGCGCGAAGAAGATGGGGTGAGATGCAATAGTTTCATTGCTGGAAACTTGATAATGGGTATCTTAAGAACATTCAACGCGCTTTAAACAAACGTACTGCTACCCACGATTAGGTGTGCCTAGACATCAGCCATGCCGGCATTGCCATTGAGCTTCCGGTTGTTCTCCTTCCCTCTGCCTTTGGTCTTCTTGTTATTGCCATCGGTGACAGCAGCGCTGCTGATGGCTCTCTTCCTGCGCCCCGCTTTAGCGCTTGCGATGGAGGATGGCGTCTCTTCTCTAGATACGCTGGTCAATTCCTCCGGCAGAAACTTCCCGCTGCCAGCAGCCTCTCGCACTAACGATGTATAGAGCTCTTGTACGGCGAGTTCGCTCGCACTTGCGTCTTGTGATGCGCCGCCTTCATCGGAGAAGGATGTGTCTGCTAGCGGATCAGGCGCGACGAGTTTGAGACGCTCGGTGCCGAGGTGGAAGCTGTTACAGGTTATTCGGGATATCTGGACTTTGGGGTGCGATATGTCGAGGGCGAGATGCTGCCGAAGATACGCGGCCAGGGCAGCTGTAAAGGGTTTATCGTGGGTGTCCTTGAGCAGTCTGCCCCTGTCGACGAAACCAGAGATGTCGCCGCCTGCGACTGTGATCTCTACGTGTTTGAGGATAGTTGTAGTATTGGGGAATGCTAATTGAATGTGCAGCTGTCTTATAATGTCTTGTATGGACTGGGTCGAGTACCTCGCGGCGAGGTGCCTGAAGTAGGTCTCGAGACTCGAAGTGATGAAGGGCGAGGGCAGCTTCAAGGGCGCAACGTGGGCATCGAAGGTGGTTCGGAGGTAGTTGAGGAAGATGTCGCGTATTGGGCCTGGCATCTTTACGAGTAGCAGGGGCAGTGACGTGAAGCCGTTTTGTGAGGAAGTGACGCCCGGGTCGCGCAGCAGGAGCGCATTGTACGACTGCTTCCCGTACTCGAGGCTCACTTGCAGTCCACGCGCCCGCTCTGGGGTGAGCTGGGAGACAGAGGACAGCTGTGAGGCATCAGGGTCCATCGACTGGCGATGTCGGTCAATCCAGGCATCCTCATCGCCAATCAGCTCCCAGGTGCACTCGTCCAGGGGGCCCAGTTTCGCGGTGTCGTCGGCAGCGGCAAAGTCGACCTGCACGCCGCGCACGCTGTCGCCTTTGAGCTGTTCCTTGAGGCGCTTGGCATGGGTGCGAAGTGAGGCGTCGACTAGGAGGGGGGTGTCGTGGCAGTGGAGCGGGGACAGGCGGTACAGGTTGTACGTGCGGTTGTAGAGTGGGTACGGGGGGATTTGGGCCATGCTGATGTCAGCTATCTTATCGCGCAGAGGGTCGACGCGTGCGGGTGCTCAGAGGCGGGCGTGCAGGCGTCCATGGGGGTTGTGTTGGAAGACGCTGGCGGCCTCGAGACGCGTCGGCGGAGACGGCAGGAGCGAGTGCGAGCGGATATGACGCAGCGTGTTGTTGGACGATTTGCGTGGTCCGTGCCTTCCGCAACACTTTCTTTAGTGACCCCGCTAAAACAGGGCCTGTCGAGAAGGTTCTCTTTTCTTCGACGTATTGCCAGCAAGTCATCACGCAGCGGTCACTTGAAATTTGCGAACCCGTGTCTGTCCATCTTTTACACGACCCCCCAAACACGACTTTCACCGCACACACTCCCTCCACGTTTGCCCACACATACCCCGCCATCAGAGATAAACATGTCTGTAGTAGGTGTTGATTTGGGAACGCTCAACAGCGTCATTGCTGTTGCGCGGAATCGCGGTGTCGATGTGGTGAGTAGCCCCGGTCGCATACTGCATACCAAAATACTGACGCCAGTAGATTGCAAATGAGGTTTCCAACCGCGCGACACCGTAAGTAGACCCCCAGCGCACGCAGCGCACACAACGAGCATCCACTCACAATTTCCCAGATCGCTAGTAGGCTTCGGCCCCAAGAGCAGATACGTCGGCGAGACGGCCAAGAACCAGGAAATCTCCAACCTCAAGAACACCGTCTCCTCCTTCGTCCGCCTCGCCGGCCGCAACCTCACAGACCCCGATGTCCAGGTCGAGCAAGACTTCATATCCGCGCCGCTCATCGACATGGGCGGCCAGGTCGGCGCTGAGGTGACATATCTGGGCAAGAAGGAGCAGTTCACTGCCACCCAGATCACCGCCATGTTCCTCACCAAGATGCGCGCCACAGCATCTGCCGAACTCAAACTCCCCGTCAACGATGTCGTCCTCAGCTGCCCCGTCTGGTACACCGATGCCCAGCGTCGCGCCATCCTTGACGCCGCCGACATCGCCGGCCTCAAGTGCCTGAGGCTCATCAACGACAACACCGCAGTCGCTCTCGGCTGGGGAATCACAAAGCTGGACCTCCCAGCGCCCGAGGAGAAGCCACGGAGAGTCGTCTTCGTCAACATCGGCCACAGCAACTACACCGCTACCGTCGTTGAGTTCAAGAAGGGCGAGCTCGCCGTCAAGTCGAGCGCCTGGGACCGCCACTACGGAGGCCGCTACATCGATAAGGCCCTTGTCGAGCACTTCGCTAAGGAGTTCAAGGAGAAGTACAAGATCGACGTAATGGAGAACGGCAAGGCCCGCCTCCGTCTGTCGGCCGGTGTCGAGAAGCTGAAGAAGGTCCTTTCCGCAAACAACCAGGCCCCCATCAACGTCGAGTCCATCATGAACGACGTCGATGTCCGCGGTATGCTCAAGCGCGAGGAGCTTGAGGAACTGATCAAGCCCCTCATCGACCGTGCTACCGCCCCTATCGAGCAGGCTCTCGCCGAGGCCAAGCTCACCACTGCCGATATCGACGCCATCGAGATGGTTGGTGGCTGCACACGTGTACCCGTCCTCAAGGCCAAGATCCAGGACTACTTCGGCAAGCCGCTCTCCTTCACCCTCAACCAGGACGAGGCTGTCGCTCGTGGCTGCGCTTTCTGCTGCGCCATCCTCTCTCCAGTATTCCGTGTCCGTGACTTCTCCGTCCACGACATGGTCAACTACCCCGTTGAATTCACATGGGAGAAGTCAGAGGACATTCCGGATGAGGACACCAACCTGACCGTCTTCAACAAGGGCAACGTCATGCCATCAACCAAGATCCTCACATTCTACCGGAAACACCCATTCGACCTCGAGGCCAGGTACGCCAAGCCCGAGCAACTGCCAGGAAAGATGAACCCCTGGATCGGCCGCTTCTCCGTCAAGGGTGTCAAGGAGGACCCCAAGGGTGACTTCATGATTTGCAAACTCAAGGCACGCCTCAACGTGCACGGTGTGCTCAACGTCGAGTCTGGATACTACGTCGAGGAAACCGAAGTCGAGGAGCCAATTCCCGAGTCTCCGTCAGCAGAGAAGAAAGAGGGTGATGTACGTTCCGAATTTCCTTCTGATCCTAGCAACGGGCGGCAAAGCCCGCCCGAGCCTGCCGCGAAACGACACAAGCCTGACGCTGATCCTGTACTTGCGCGTCCTGCTTCTGCGCACGTAACAAATGAGCTAACAAATTATGCGCAGGCAATGGACGTTGATAAGGACGCCGCCAAGGAGCCACCGAAGATGCGCAAGGTCAAGAAGCAGCAGCGCAAGGGTGACCTGCCACTATCAGCCGGAACTGCTTCGCTTGACGAAGAGAGCAAGCAGACCCTGGCCGAGAAGGAGAACTCCATGATCATGGAGGACAAGCTCGTTCAAGACACCGAGAACGAGAAGAACAACCTCGAGAGCTTCATCTACGAGCTCAAGGACAAGATTCTCGACGTCTACGCCGAGTTCGCCAGTGACGAAGAGAAGGCTAAGCTCAACACAAAGCTCGAGACCATCGAGGTAAGTCCAATAACGATGCAATACATGGACTGCGCTGACATCTACACAGGAATGGTTATACGACGAGGGTGACGACGCGTCAAAGGCACAGTACGTCTCCAAGAAGGAGGACATCCGCTCCATCGCCGGTCCCATCATCCAGCGCTACAACGACAAGATTGAGGGCGAGCGACAAGCGGCCATGGAGAAGCACCAAAAGGAGCATGCCGCTAAGCAAGCCGAGCTTGAGCGCGCAAAGCGGGAAGCCGAGGCTAAGAAGCAGGATCAGGCGCCGCCGGCGGAAGAGCCAAAAGACGCGGAGATGACAGACGCCGAGGCACAAAAGCCAGACGGCGTTGAGGAGGCTTCTTAAGCGGAGAGGCATCTGCGAAGGCGTAACGGCAAAGTGAAAAGCATTTGGTCGGCGTGGTATACTAAAGGGCTACGTTTGGCGCCGAGGGGAAAGTTTTCTCTGTTCGACTTTTCTTCTTGTTTTCTCTGTGATGACGATCATGGTAATGCGATGCTTATGATAGACTAGTCCATAGATGAACGAACACGATATCCAGTTTTGGAACTACAATGATACGTTCCGCTGCTTCCATCCTTCTGGTCTGCGTGGTTGTGCTTTCCTTCTCCAACTGAACTCCGTCATTAAAGTGGGGCGGTGGAACCCTTCGCCAGCTGCCTCTTTGCGCAATGTTCTGGATACCTCCTCCCCCTCGAAACTGTCCGACTATTCAATCAACGGAACAGGATGGAGAGTGCACTCGATTACACCGCCTCGCCTCTATCCTGAGAGAAACTCCTTCCCATAACACTGCGATTGAGAACCGCCCACACGGATATCGATGCAGCCTCAACAACAAATGACACAAATGCAGACTCCCTGCGACTCAGCGCGATACCAAGGAAGATTCCGTTGACAATCATTGTCGCATGCAAGCTGAACCAAATCACTACCCTGACAGGGTAGGGCATGCACTCGAAGACGGTGTTCATCATGTTGGCGATAGCAGACACCAGGCCCTCGACCATTTTGAGTAGGGCCTCTGGAAGCCAGCGGATAAATCGAACAGGCATTCGAATACAGCCATTATCGTGCTGCCACATTGGAGTCTGGCTGTTCAGGTTCCAACCGACGAGCGGTTTCAAGTCGTTGCGCTCTACATTTTCGGGGCGGGCCACAGAGACGTCGTGGGAGGATAGATCGGATGACGAGCGCTGAGATACAGAGTCTTGCGGAGATGTATGTGCAGGTTTCGATCTACCAATTATCAGCCAGCTATAAACATGAGCTGCGCAATGGTCAACCGACTGGCTGTTCTCATCCTGTGAACGCTCAGTATCCATCGATGCGTCGTGGAGCTTCGAAGTGTTTCAACTTCACTGAACAGTTCCGGGAGACTAATAACGCTACAGTTTCGCAGCCTCGCCGAACGAATTTCCAAACAAAACTTCTGGTGATGGTGGAAGTGCATGCAATTCGCACTTTGGGTGCCTTGTTGACGGACGATTTTGGAATTCCCGTCACGACCGTATTGCCAAAAGACGAAGAGAGCTTTCGGCTCAGTTCGGATAGCTGACGATACAAGGCTGTCTGCAAGGCATTGTCACCGCCCCAAAACACTCCGCATGGGTAAGCGCTCAGCCATGGGGTCCTCTGCGGTTCCTCCAATAGGATCAGAGCGACCGTAAGCCCTGTGGGGCTGTGTTGTCGCTCAGCTCCCTAGCAGCATCACTCTTCATCAGCCCGCACCCGCAGGAAGTGTACGCTCGCTTTGGCGTCAAGGATGGCCGAGGCACTCGCTATCATCGGGCTGGTATCCAACATCTTATCGTTTATCGACTTCGGCATCAAACTCGCTTCTGAGACTCGAAATGTGCGCGACTCCCTTCACGGTACAACTGCAGAAGTGCGAGAGCTGGAGATTATCGTGGAAGACGTCGAAAAATATCATGCGCAAGTAGACAAGCTGCGATCCAATGGTCAAGAGCTTTCTGCGCACGAAAAAAGCATCATGGGCATGGTAAAAAACTGCCGTAACATAGCCGAAGATTTGCACAAGATCATCGAACGACTACATGTGCGCAAAGGTCGCTCGAAGACCCTTGAAAGCAGTCGCGTGCTTTTTCAAGGCCTCTGGAAACAACGCGACATCGAGACTCTACGAGCAAGGCTTGATGCGCTAGATAAGCGTATTCGGGTGAATGTTGAACAAATTATCCGGAGGTATGTCAATGGAGATTATGGTAGCGTTCTGAGCTGCATACGCCCATCTCGAACAAGGGGGAATTGGGACACCCTAGAGCCTGAATTCACGCCACATCTTTCAGTCTCCTTGTTTCATCCCATGCAGTCTGCAGACTTGTTCAGAGGATTCCTTGTATAAGGAGAACGAATTATTAGCCAGAACGCATGCTGACTTACTTGTGTTTTAGTGATCATTACTCTTGGCTATCAGCCAAACTAGACGCCTTGAAGACGGCTCAAGATGCCTTAGCAATCAGCTACGACGCTAAGCTGGATCAGATTCGAGACGAAATACTCACACTCGTAGCACAAACTCGCACGAGCGAAGGCGCTACGCATGTCGCGCAATTGACTAGCCTGAAGACGAAGTTTGATGCACTTGGCAAAGAGCACACGGCATGCACCAAGCAAATCGCTACTATACGAAGTCTCTACTTCTCCGTCCTGCGCAGGCGGTGGAGTCAAATACCGGAAGCTGATAAAGCGTCAAACACATGGATCTTTGACAAAGCATTGACTCCCTTCACAGTCTGGTTAGAGAGCACCGACGAACATGATGGACTTTTCTGCATTACAGGCCGGGTAAAGATGATCTCTCTAGTGTTTCAACTTCCACTAACGTGGCCGATCTAGGCAGGCAGTGGCAAATCAACTCTGATGAAGTTTGTGACTGAAAATCCTCGCACTTTCGAATGCCTTGAAGATTGGGCAGGCACGACCAAACTCTGCACGGCGAGCTACTACTTCTGGAATCAAGGCTACGAAATGCAAAAGAGCCAAGTAGGACTTTTCCAATCGTTGCTGTACCAGATACTCAAATCGGTACCCAGACTCATCGAGATAGTGTGCCCAAACCGTCTAGAGCACGAAGAGTGGGACGTGGAAGAACTGAAAGCTACTTTCGCGCGCATCGCTATCCAGAAAGATTTGGAAGTCAAGTTCTGCTTCTTCATCGACGGTTTAGACGAGTACAACGGGGCTGAGGAAGACGTTGTCAGTGCTCTGAAATTCCTCTCTATATCGAAAGACATCAAGATATGTGCCTCAACACGGCCTCGCTCAGTGTTCGAGAGGTATTTCAACAACACATCTCGCACGTTCGACATTAAGAGCTTTACCAAAGAAGACATGGGACGCCATGTTCAGCGTCTCCTCGGGGAGAATGAGAACTTCCAACGCCTGGCGAATACCGATACCACGTGCGTATCAATAATGAACGTGATTGCAGACCTTGCGCAGGGCGTATGGTTATGGGTCTTCCTCATTACTCGTGACCTTGTACACGCTGTCGATCGAGATGAAGGTGTGGACATGCTGTGGAATATCGTCAATCTCTTCCCAGCAGATCTAGAGGCGTACTTTGAGCGCATGGTCAAGGCTGTTAAGCCTCAGTATCTTGAAGAGATGTCACAAATCTTCTTGATCACGGTCGATGAGCTGCAACCGCTACCATTATACGCGTTCTCTCTGCTAGAACACCAACGCAAGAACCCCGCCTATGCCACCAACCTCCCCATACGGCCCATTCGCGAAGACAATTTGAAAAGTGAGTATCCCAAGTGGAAGTCGCTCATTCGGAACAGATGTAGCGATCTTCTCGTTGTTGATGACCAAGAGTAAGTAAAGCTTATGGCCATCTACTCAGGTGCTACACGACCGAAAGCGATTCTTTTGACATTGGCATCTCCAGCCGTCGCACGAAGATACATGCAGTGCTTCGGGCTCTTTTCAATCAAACGAACGCCTATTTGTAACTTTCTAACTGTGTCACTCCAGACATCCCTGCTTCTCGGGTCCTACGGTCGACTTCCTCCACCGGACCGTTGCCGAGTTCTTGCAGGACAACTACTACCACCAACTACAGGCCAACTTGAAGACCGAGTTTAGCTCTAACTTTACTTTGTGCAACATATGCCTTGTCATGCTAAAATCACTACCGGATATGGACTACAGTAATCGACTGTCGACCGGCAAAGTTATGGGCTTAACGGAAGAGCTACTCTATTACGCCTACGAAACCGAGAGAACCGACCCAAGCCCTACCTCAGCCCTAGTAGAGGTCCTCGATGAGGTGGATCGCGTCAATACTCACCACGCACGTGGTACAGGGAACCACTGGACGCGGGCCCGCATTGCAGTCGGCGAAAGTGGTTATGATATGCATCGTGAGGAATACAACTGCAACTTTCTTGCACTGGCTGTACAAGCCCGCCTCGTCAAGTACGTTCGTGCGAAGTTGGACGCCAACCCAAACAATGCGCGAAAGTGTGGGCGACCACTACTGGACTACGCGCTCCGTCCACGCCGAAGCACAAACATCACCTATCAATACCACTCCAAGCGCGACGATCCAAGTGTGAATGTGGATAGTAAGTCTTGACTGCGCAAAATGCGTATGAGACAGACACTAACTTCGTATTATCACCTTTGCAGTGGTACGGCTACTCCTCGAACGTGGGGCAAATCCAAACCAGCCTGCCCGTCTGAACGACAGCAAGTCAGTTTGGCACCTCTTCTTACTTACAATGGACAAGACCGTCTCACGGCCGCTACCTTCTGGAGCGAATGGAACGAGGCCTCCAGCGGGTCTCATGAGCGCTTGGTACCAGAGCTGTGAACTGCTCATTCAACACGGTGCTCGAAGATTTTCCCATGTTGACGAGAATGAGTTGATAACAACGGATCATGGCATCTTTAATTGGGTCTTTGGGTCTCCGCGAGCTGAGGCCCTAGTGGCGCTTATGGATGAGAAGGAGCGGGAGAAACAGCAGGCAAAGGGCTCATGTGTGATTATGTAGCACCTTTTATAACGAATCGGTATAGAGACGAAGTTTGGCAAGGTTTCAACACAATATGCAACAGCTATCAAGCGTTGCCAGGTGTTGAGGTTCTTCTCCCCCACCGGCGGGGCCGAGCAATCATAATCTAGCTGTACCGAGCGGCCCAATGAGAGTGGCAAGGCGTGTGCAGGGGTCCGGCCTACCTTCCCCGAAGTTTAGCGAGCTTAGGGCTGACAGGCTGTTCGTTCGTCCTCCAAACTGTCTCGCAACATTCCCTGCGTCTTCTTTGAAACATGCTATTTGAACCGCTAAATATCTCCGCAAAACGAGTTGGGGCGACGTCTTCATGTCCATCACTCTAGTTGGATATCGCACTCGCTATGCAGCCAGAAGCCAACACACCGAATCAACACGTGACTGCAAAAGCTGCGTACCAACCTGTAAGAGGTGTTGTACGGAGGAAGTCCAAATCAGGGTGCGGAACCTGCAAGTGAGTGGACTCCCTTGTCCAATGATACGGTACTCAACCGATTGGCTGTTTGTTTTGCAGCGATCTGGGTAGAGATCTGTTCCTATGGACGCTTACCGACATCGACTAGAGCGCGAAGAGTCAAGTGCGACGAAACCAAGCCTGTATGCTCTCGCTGTCGCTCCACTGGTCGGACATGCGAGGGCTACGGACTGTGGGGTGGCGGAGGGAACACCTACGTTGAAAGATACGGCCTGGTGTCAACATCGATCCAGAAACCTCCAACCAAAGTCCTGGGTGTCGAGGAACTCAGGTATCTACAGTTATACAGGATCCGCATCGTTCACACAACTTCCGGTTGGTTTGCATCGAAGTTTTGGAACTCGATCGTGCTACCAGCAGCGTCGTCAGAACCGGCGGTTCTTCATGCTGCTGTTGCGCTGAGCGCTGCGCACAGATGCAGTTTCGATTCGGCACAAGCTCCGGATGAGAGGGAAAAGTTCATGCTTCAACAATATGGCAAAGCAATCCAGTCGCTACAGCCGCTGTTGCGATGTGGAGATAAAGCCTCAGTCACAATCATATTGGTCACCTGTCAGTTATTTACCTTGCTTGAATACCTCCGCGGGCAATACCAATTGGCCGAATCACACTTACGGAACGGTCTAAAGGTCCTGATGAACATGACCACGAAGAAAGATCGCTCGCACGATGGCGTCCTTGTAATCAAGCCGGCATCATATGAAAAGAGCATCGACCAAGGCATCGTGCGCAGCTTCGCGACCCTACATATGCAAAATAATCTGTTCGGTTCCGGTCTGGAAGATCTCGATATATTTCTTCAGCCGATAGAAAACACGATACCATACCCTACTTTTACGACTATCGAGGAGGCGAAGGACGCTCTTGATGTGCTATTGCACGGCATTGTTCTCATAGCACAACAATATCGAAAGATGGGGCCAGGCACTAAAGATGAAATTGCTGCGGTTACAGCAGGACAAGAAAAGATCACGACCTCTCTTGCGATGTGGTACGATGCGTATCTGAGCACACTTCCCTCGGTCGACAAACTAGCCCTAGCTGCTGGGAGGAGACCAGATGAACTGTGGGCGTTCGGCGGGAAGACGCCGCCAGCAAAGCTTCCAACGGGCCGCGAACCATCAGTCCTCAAATTGCTACTCATGTATCATGCCATGGCGGGCATAATGTGCGGCTGTCTGCAAGTGCACTCTGAGCAGCACTACGAAATGTATACTCAAACGTTTCTCACGATACTTGTGCATGCCATACACATCTTCGAAGAGTACACCTTGGCAAAATCCATACCCGATAACGTCAACCTCCACGATTCGATTGGCGAGTACGGCTTTATTGCACCTTTGTATTACACGGCTATCAAGTGTCGATACCATCGCATCCGCCTCCATGCTATTCGGCTCCTGCGGGTGATCCCGCTGAAGGAAGGAACGTGGGATTCTTTCACGGCAGCAAATATCGCGGAAACGGTTATGGAGCTTGAAGAGCAAGATACTCGCTATGGGGATAACGCTGGAGACGGCTTCTCTCTCTCAGAGATACCCAATTTGGAAGATTCGTATAGCTGGTCTTTGATGCCGGAGCATAACATGTTCCACGATGTGGAAGCAACGACAAGAGGAGATCTCACGAACGAAGTCGTCGTCACATGCAGAAGATGGCGGCTGGACGGCAGCCCGGAAGTCATCAAATTTCACGCCAATCCCAAACCCAGGCACAAGACCGACAAGAAGACACATTCTTATACCTGAAGGGACCAATACAGCTCAAGAACATCTGTTACAAAACCAAAACCATCCAATCAAGAGCATCTATTTCCTTCTCCCTAGAGCTCCCATCCCTTCGATCTCTCTCTGCGTCCACGCCCACAGCCTCTCTCCCAATACTCTATCCTTGGACAATTTACTCCCCATACCCAACACACCCACAGGTTCATAGTACCGTCCACTCAATACCCCCTCTGTCGTCGCCGCCCAAACCCCATTTTTTATCCCTTCCTCCAGCGACCCACATCTCTTAGGCGCTACTTCCCTCGCCAGATACTTGATCTGCTCGTCACCCCCTTCAGCGCCTTTGTTGAAGATTTCCGTCAAGACGTCACCGGGATGGATGGCCACACAGAGGATCTGCGGGTAGTGCAATGCATATTGGCGCGCGTAGACTACGTTGGCGAGTTTGGATTGCGTGTACTTGTTCACGCCTGACAAGTCAATTTGGGAAGACTTCAACGTGTCGAATGCGATACCGCCGTCTGGTAGAGCGGCGGTGTGAGCGTGGCCCCGCGAGCTGACGGAGATGACGCGTGGTGTTGAGCCCGAGGTTTCTGCAGTGGAAAGCAAGGTTGGTGTGAGGAGCTTTAGGAGGAGGGCATGGCCGACGTGGTTCGTGCCGAATTGCAGTTCGTGGCCTTGAGGTGTTGTGCCGGGGTGACCGCCCATCTACCGTCGCAGAAGATGGTTAGTCAACACACGCATCCCAATGCACAAAAGAACAGAACAGCAAAAGCTAGAAAGGTTGAGAGAAGACATACAATCCCAGCATTCAGCATCAAAACATCCAACCTCCCTCCACAACCCTCCACCACTTCCCTCGCCGCTCTTGCTACCGAGTCGAAACTCGCTAGATCGCATTCTACGAATCGAACATCGATGGCCGGTGCTGCAGCTTTTATCTCAGCGACGGCTGCATGGCCGCTTGCGACGTTGCGAGCCGCGATCCAGAGTTGTGCTGGGTTTAGGGTGGCGAGGGAGAGGGCGGTGGCTTTTCCTATGCCGCTGTTTGCGCCGGTTATCAGGATGACTTTTGAGGAGAGGGATGGAGTAGGCGACATGGTTGCGTGGATCAAGGCGGAGAAGTGTAAGAAAGTAGGAGTCGGAGTATTGGGGCCAAAGAGTTGGAAGGCGCATGAGCCATATGGTGTATTACCCTCCATTTATCTATTGCTCCTACTTTTGAGTTTCCGACTTCTCCCTCGTTGTTCCAAAAGAGTTCTTGTGCATTTCCATAATGCATATGATTCGCTCACGTTTTCCGTGGTTCAGGCGTCCAGTATGTGAGACTGCGGAGGGACAAACGCACCGAGACTCCGATGTAGTGGTACGACAGCCTCCGGAGATCGACAACGGAGCTTCCCATGATGCTTAATGATGGCTTGGTTGTAGTTATTCTTGAAAATCATGGCTTTTACCAGTTCTGTCCACCATCTATCGAGATAGCATAGCTGAAGATCATGTCCTCCCACAGCACGTACCTTTCCCCTCTTCACCATCAGCCCACCCTACACAACCTCCCATCCTGTGTAACAGTCCCCTCCCTCTTCCTCCCATCTAAATCCCTAACCTCCCACTCATCACTCCCCACGCCTCCAATCACCCAAAACACACCTTCAGGATCATGTTCCCTCTTCACCCTAGCCAACCTCTCATAATTACTCCCAAAGAACGCGTCCTTCCACTCCCAATCCTGCGCATCCCCCTCATTGATATAACTCCCACTCCCGGGCGTTACATCTCGCCAACCCTGCATATACCCCTGCAGTCTCTGGTGTTTTTCTGTCAGCTCCTCGTGCGACAAGATGGGTGCTTTGCCGTCCCAGTGCGCGTTTGATTCGTAGGCTTGTGCGTGGAGGACTGTGGTGCGGAACGCGGGGTTTACGCTGTTGTTTGGGTTTGCTGAGACGGAGAGCGTGGGCGCGTAGTTCATGCCGTGGAAGCTTAGGGAACCGTTTTCGACGACGTGGCGGATGGCGAGGTGGGAGGTTTCTAGTGTGGAGGGGGTGGAGAAGGTGATGCGAGGGAAGAAGCGGGATGCTATGAGCGTGTGGCCTGTTGTTTCGCCTATTACTCTCTTGGAAAAAGGCGATGCTTCGTTTGTGGAGTCGTCTTCATACGAGAAAGATGGTGTGAGAGAGCGTTTGAGTGTCGGCATAGGTTGTTGGATACCGAGATCATTGAGCTTCTGAAGCAATGGGCGGACAAATTGCCGATATTGAGTGGTAGTCTTGTTGGGAACCGAAATACTGACAGTAAAGGTAAGACCTGTGCTACTACTGCTTGGGTAGATGAAGCTGTAACCCAAGCCGCCTGCGTCACAGATGGCGATCGAAAACTCCCAGTACGCGCGCATACCGGCCCAGAAGGTTTCTGCAGATATTGGAGGCGCACTTGATCCGCGGTCTGGTGTGGTTGAGAAACGAACACTACCTGACGTAATCGATGTGGTCGGGAATGCTTTGACGACAACGGACGTGATGATGCCGAACGTGCCTGGTCTTTGGTCAGTGACAGTCGGATTCCTTTTTCGATGGGAATGATTACCTCCACCTCCTCCTCTGAAAGCCCAGAACAGGTCTGCGTTTTCGCCTTCATGTGCTTCAACTACCCTTCCATCAGCTGTAACAGCAGTGATGGCGAGCACTTGGTCTGCCGCCAGACCATAGTAGCTGGTATAGGCACTGTGTCCACCACCTTGAAGAAATCCGCCTGCAATACCTACGGTTGAACCGCCTGCAACAATTATGACTATATTCTTCTGCCGCATTAGTGTAGATCCCTCAGAAGCCTGGGTGCCCGCGGCATAAGTAACAGCCTTTCCGGTATAAGATCCAGTGGGTGAGGTGTAGTTGGGATCATACGTCATGCCTTTGAGGTTGTGTGTCCATACACTGAGGGAGTAACCACCGATGGATTTCCCGTTGAAGTCATGACCCGAGTTTTTGATCACAAGGCGGATGTTCTGGTTTCTAGCAAAGTTGACTGCGAGTTGGATGTGTCTTAACGTAGTGGCTCTGACGACGTACTCCGGCCAACCACCTTGAGTACAGTTTGAATTTGGCTGTGAGGTTGGTGTGCAGGTGTTGCCGGATGCCCACTGGGACATGATACTGGTGGGATCATCGGTACTGTCGTAGTTAGCATGACACAATAAGGGTGGCGTTGCGTTACGAGTGAGCTCACTGTAGGTTCATGCCCGCCCAGTTACTCTTGTACTGTTCGCATCTCGCTGCATTGTAGCCCTCACCAGTATAGCAGACGCTGGCAAGCGGCTTCGGCTTCAGTAACACACCACCGAGCGTATCGTTAAAAGAGGTCCAGACATCCTCGCCCGGCCACTCAGCGTCGCCCGGGATGATCTTGCAATCAGCAGGCGCCGCAGCTTGTGATGCACTACCAAAGCGCACTGCGTCATTGCGAGCTGCATCCTCGTCAGTGAGCTGTTCGCGCTCCCAATCAAAATTGAGGGCAATTGCTGCCGCTGAGAAGAGGTAAAAGATGAGAGTAGTATAGAGCATCTTGGTGAAGTTGTGAGTGACAATGTATTGAGGGAAGGACGTAGAACCGTTGCAGGCAGGCGCGAACGAACTCAAAATAGGAAACCACCGCCATCACGACGATATACAGATAACGTTATCGCTCTCACTCGCTGTGAAGCCAGCCTGTTTGCTCCCCACACACCCTTCCAATGCCTCGTCTGTGGGGCCATACGAGCATGTGGTCTTCGCAGGTGTGGGATGACTGAGCTGTGGTGTTCACCTATTGTCTTGCATATACATGCCGGCTATATAGCTTACCACCGTCCCGGTTCGCAGAAATGTTTCCAGGCGAGAATCCCGGTCTAGATTTACCATTAGTCCGGGCGTGCAGGGTGATCAACTACGCAACAACAGACGCAAAACGATTCGAAGAAGGGAGATATCTTTTCATACAAGGGGTTATCATGCAATACGACAGTTGGACAAATGATCATGGGGGATAGAAAACGCGCCATCCGCTGTACATAAGATCGTCTGTCCCTGAGATCCAATCTCATCTAGCCCAATAGTAAAGTTACACAGTCGTCCCAAATGCACCGAAAATAGAATCAGATTATAGCATAAGCTCGAGAGGGCTCTCAATGGCCTTCTTGAGCTCGCGCATGAACTCGCCACCGACGGCACCGTCGACAACCTTGTGGTCGAAGCTGCCGGTGATGACAATTTGGTCGTCCCACTCAACGCTCGCTGTGCCATCCTCAGCCTGGCCTGGTACTGCGACCTTCCTTGTTGTGCCGATTGCAACGATGCAAGCTTGTGGGGGGTTGATGACGGCGGTGAAACGCTCAACAGCGGGGTTCATTCCCATGTTGGAGATGGTGATGGTTCCGCCCTGGTATTCCTCGGGCTTGAGCTTGCCGTCGCGTGCGCGCTTGCCAAGGTCCTTGATCTGGGAGGAGATGGATTGGAGGCCGAGTCCGTTGACGTTCTTGACAATGGGGGTCATGAGACCGACGGGGGTAGAGACAGCGACGGAGACGTCGACAGTGTTGTGCTGGCGGATAATGACCTTACCGCCATCCTCGCGCCAGGATGAGTTGGCAGCGGGGACCTTGCGGGCGGCAACAGCGAGAGCCTTGACAAGCAAGTCGTTGACCGAGAGCTTGTACTCGCCGTTAGCTGAGGCGTTGAGGGCTTCACGGAGCTTGAGGAGCTTGGAGACGGAGATGTTGGAGGCGACGAAGTAGTGGGGGTTCTGCTGCATGCTCTCGCGGAGACGGGTAGCAATGACCTTGCGCATGCTGGTAGCCTCGACGTCCTCGTAGGCGGCAGCGGAGGCGCCAGCAGCGGGGGCAGCGGGGGCAGCAGGCTTGTACTTCTCAATGTCCTCCTTGGTGACCTGGCCGCCCTTTCCAGTGCCCTTGATGGAACCGATAGGGACGCCCTTCTCGAGCGCGAGCTTCTTCGCGGCGGGGGAGACGGCAGGCTGGCGCTGGAGAGCGGTCTCTAGGCGGTCGCCGGTGGACTCAGACTCGATGGCGGCGGGCGCAGACTCCTCCTTGGCGGGGGGAGCGGTCTTGGAGCCAGTGTTCGGGGGCTCGCTGGCTTCGGCGGCGTTGCCCTCCTTGGAGGGAGTGTCGGCCTTCTTGTCACCACCGGCGTCCTCAATGGAGAAGCTCTCGAACGCGGAGACGTCCTCGCCCTCCTCGACCATAACGGCAATGGGCTGCGAGAGTCAGCATGGTATCCTCGAACGCTTGTGTACCTCGACTTACGCTTCCAACAGCGACGTCCTTCTCGCCAGCGTCGCGGAGGATCTTGGCGATGGTGCCCTCTTCCTGGAACTCAAAGTCCATCTGTGCCTTGTCCGTCTCGATCTCGACGAGGACGTCACCGGGCGCTATTGAGTCGCCAACCTTCTTCTGCCATGCGCCAATGTTTCCGGCGGTCATGGTTGGGGAGAGGGCGGGCATGCTGATAACGCTGTGCGAGGGGTAGGCTGCAGGCTGCGTTAGCAATGCGATGGCCAGCGGAGTATCTCGTCGCGAGAGACGCGGTGGGAGTGCTCACACTTGGAGGCATAGTAGCGTGCGAGCGCGGACAGGGCTGGTGTGCGTCTGTATACGGCGTGTCAGCTATGCTCGTCGGAGGATTGTGGGCAATGCCAGGCGGGAGTGAAGCTAACGTACGCGGAGCATCTCGAGGTGGGCAGGGCGCCGCGCAGGGCAATTGACCCCCGCGAGCTCAATTGGCTCCCAGCCCGGGACAGCAGCGTTGTGGTTGCGGGCATTGTGTTGGGATGCCGGGCGCTGAGATTTTACTCCAAGCGACGTGAAATGGGGGAAGACGGGCTTGTCGGGCGAGGGCGACAGGCAGACAGAGGTGAGCGAGCTGGAGGCTCAGGCGCTTAGCGGTCAGGGCTGGAGGAGATGGAAGACTGTTCAACGAAAAGTTTAGTGCAGCTGGTTGGAGACCCGGCGACTAGCGTTCTCTCCCGATGAGGGTCTATGCTGGATGCGACATTTCCCGGCAGGACGCAAAGTGTGGCGCCAGGCTGTGGCTGAGGCAGGTGCAAGTGTGGCGCCTTCCCTAGCCTACCGCGCGGCTGGTCCCAGGTACGTAACTAGCCAGGAGGAAAGACACAAAGTGTCATCTCAGAGCACGACTCGCTCAACGCCTGCACAGACTCGCCCGCTGTCCGCTGCTCTGCACTGCACTGCGCCAGTCCGAGTCACCACTGCCGCGCCCTCACTTTTTCCAATCGCTCCTTCTCCGCCATGGTTGCTGAGGAAGTGACATTCCTACAAACATCCCGGACGTGAACAACTATGGCCGACACCGAACCCCCGCCAGCGCCCCGAGAGGACATGGAGAAGCCCGACATGGAGGAGCAAGATGCACCTGCCGCAGACACAAGAGAAGAAGAAGAGGACGAGAGCGACTCCTCAGACGCCGAGTCGGAGCAAGCGTCAGAGCAGGCATCAGAGCACGCCGAGGATACGTCGTCCCCAGCGCCCGAAGCTCCACGGGAAGAGGCGGAAACATCGACACCTGCGCCCGGAACACCAGTCCTCCACGTGCCCAACGGAGGAGACGCGCCGCGATCATCCGAGCAGATCTTCGACCACCGCCTGCCTATCGAGAACCGCCCGCGAACCGACTCGCAGTCCACGGCAGCCACTACGGCCACGCGACCATCCACAAAAAGCTCCCTAGTCTTCGTCGTCACCGCGCTCGAGACAATCGCAGCTTCCAAAGATGCCAGGAAGAACAAGAAACTAGGCGACAGCACCAATGCTGCCTTGTCGGCCATCAAGAACGAGGGCGACCCGGCGCGCATCAACCCCGAGGTCCTCTTCGAACCCCTCCAACTTGCCTCCGAGGCTCCCAACGTCCCCGTGTCCATCACCGCGCTCGACTGCATCGGCAAGCTCATCAGCTACTCCTACTTCTCCGTGCCGGCCGAGCCGCGCGCCGACAACAGCGAGGCCCCTCCTCTGATCGAACGAGCCATAGACACGATATGCGATTGCTTCCAAGGCGAGGCCACTGCGCCCGAAGTCCAACTCCAAATCGTCAAGTCGCTGCTGGCAGCCATCTTGAACGACAAGATCGTTGTACACGGAGCAGGATTGTTGAAGGCTGTGCGACTCACGTACAACATCTTCCTCCTTTCCAAGTCAAGCGCGAACCAACAAGTAGCACAGGGTGCACTGACACAAATGGTTGGCACAGTCTTCGAAAGGGTCAAGACGAGACTTTCTATCAAGGAAGCTCGGATGAACCTGTCGCGCTCATCTTTGAATGACAAGGGGCAATCAAGTGAGAGTGTACAGCCCGAGGAGGGCAGTGCAGAAGACATCACCGGTTCCGAGGCCAACGGCGACGATGCAGAGGACGAGCACGATGCTGAAAACGCCGAACCAAGCGACAAGGCAGTCGACCGACACACTGGACCGAAGATCACGCTGCAAAGCTTCGAAAACAACATGAGCTTCAACGACGACCGTATACATGATAATGCGCCAACGCTGGTGACTCGCATCAAAGGCAAAGCTGGGTCACGACACGTGTCCGGTCAAGAGGGTTCGCCTCATGTCAACACCGAAGAAGAGGAGGAAGATGAGATATTTGTCAAAGACGCGTACCTCGTCTTCAGAGCCATGTGCCGTCTGAGCACAAAAGGTCTGTCAGTGGACCATGCCCACGATGTGAAGTCCCAAGGCATGCGCTCAAAGCTTCTCTCCCTGCACATGATTCACACTATACTTTTCAATAATATTGCCGTATTCGTGTCGCCATATGCCACTATCCGCAGTGGCAGCGACGAGCCAACGAGCTTCATACAGGCAGTCAAACAGTATCTTTGTTTGAGCCTGAGCCGGAACGGTGCAAGTTCCGTGAAGCACGTCTTCGAAGTTGCCTGCGAGATTTTCTGGCAGATGCTTAAATACCTGCGCATATCACTCAAGAAGGAAGTCGAGGTGTTCTTAAAGGAAATCTACCTCGCAACTCTAGACAAGCGGAGTGCTCCTGCATTCCAGAAGCAATACATTTTGACAATATTCGGAAGGCTGGCTGCAGACCCCCGAGCACTAGTAGAGATCTATCTCAACTATGATTGCGATCGCACCGCACTTGACAACATGTTCCAACGCGTCGTCGAACACTTGTCCAAGATCTCCAGCAACCCCGTCACCATCACACCTGTGCAGCAGCAAGCGTACCAGGACCAACGAGAGAAACAATCAAGACAAATGGATTGGCAGAGCCGAGGCACATTACCACCGTCACTGACGACTGTCTCCATGAACTCATCACACGACACAGAACATGGCTATCCTCAAGAATATGCAATGAAGCAGGAGTCTCTCGAGGCTCTGGTCGAAATCCTCCGATCTCTCGTCAACTGGGCTCAGCAAGCCCTGCCTGACAACACCAAACCGAACCACCCAGACCTACGACCGTCGCTCGACAATCTTCGCGTGTCAACCGATACTAGGCTTGCTTCAGAGTCACCAATGGTCGGAGCAGATTCTGGAACCGTCACACCGCTTGCCGAGGACGATTACAGTCAGCTCGAGAAAGCAAAGCAGAGGAAAACGGCCCTCACAAGCGCGTTGCGGCAGTTCAACTACAAGCCGAAGCGTGGACTCAAGACCTTGATCGCAGAAGGCTTCATCCCCTCAAATAAACCTGAGGACATCGCTCGCTTCTTTCTCGACAATGATCAGATCGACAAGACGGCACTGGGAGAGTTCCTCGGTGAGGGGGATCCCGAGAACATTGCTATCATGCATGCATTCGTGGATTTGATGGACTTTACCAAGACTCGCTTTACGGATGCCCTGCGGCGCTTCCTCCAAAGCTTTCGACTGCCTGGTGAGGCGCAGAAGATCGATCGGTTCATGCTCAAGTTTGCTGAACGATACATCACCGGCAATCCCAACGCATACGCCAACGCCGACACTGCATACGTTCTGTCATATTCCGTCATCATGTTGAACGTCGATCAACATAGCAAAAAGATGAAGGGTCCACGTATGACACCACAAGACTTCATCAAGAACAACCGCGGCATCAACGACAACGCCGATCTGCCGGATGAGTACCTACAAGGTATATACGATGAGATCTCACAGAATGAGATCGTGTTGAACACAGAGCAAGAAGCTGCTGCAGACAAGGGTCTGCTCAATCAACAACCCACAGGAGGGCTGTCTAGTATAGGACAGGTACTCACGGGTGGTGCTCGCGACCTACAGCGAGAAGCAATCGTACAAGCGTCGGAAGCAATGGCTAACAAGACCGAGCAATTGTACAAGCAGCTCCTCCGAGCTCAACGAAGAACAGCAACAGCTCTTCCAGTCTCCAAGTTCATCCCTGCATCCTCATCCAAGCACGTCGGACCCATGTTCGAAGTCAGCTGGATGCCAATTTTGACTGCTCTTTCCGGCCAAGCTCAAGATCACAACATCGAGATTGTTCGCCTTTGTATCGAGGGCATCAAACTAGCAATTCGGATATCGTGTTTGTTTGATCTAGACAGCTCGCGACAGGCTTTCGTAGCTTTCCTCTCGCGCTTCACAAACCTTTACAACGTAAGCGAAATGAAGGCTCGGAACATGGAGGCATTGAAAGCCTTGATCGAGATTGCACAGACGGAGGGAAACCTTCTACGTGAATCTTGGCGCGAGGTCCTCACATGTGTTTCTCAGTTGGATCGTTTCCAACTCATCTCAGCCGGTATCGATGAACGCGCCGTACCGGATGTGCTCAAGTCAAGTTCAGGTACTACGCAGTCGCGCAAGAATCTCAATATTCCAGCCAACCGTCGAAGGCCAACATCACAGTCCAGCACCATGAGCTTCCAATCCGAAGTAGCCGAGGAGAGCCGATCTACTGACATCGTCCGAGGAGTAGACCGCATCTTTACCAACAGTGCGAACCTATCTGGTGAAGCCATCGTAGACTTTGTCAAAGCTCTTGTTCAGGTCAGCTGGCAAGAGATTCAGTCGTCTGGGCAGAGCGAATCACCGCGTACCTACAGTCTGCAGAAGCTTGTGGAGATCAGTGGCTACAACATGACGCGTGTGCGCTTCGAGTGGACCAACATCTGGCAGGTGCTTGGCGCTCACTTCAACGAGGTCGGATGCCACACCAACACCAACGTCGTATTTTTCGCTCTCAATTCATTACGGCAACTCTCTATGAAGTTCATGGAGATTGAGGAACTGCCCGGTTTCAAGTTCCAGAAGGACTTCCTCAAACCCTTCGAGCACATAATCAACAACGCCAATGTTGTCTCTGTCAAGGACATGGTGCTACGCTGCTTGATTCAGATGATCCAAGCGCGCGGCGAGAACATTCGGTCTGGCTGGAAAACCATGTTTGGTGTTTTCACTGTGGCCGCCAGAGAGCCCTACGGTATGTCTTTTTTGAAGCTCACTGGTACAATTACTAATAAACTGCAGAGGGCATCGTCAACCTTGCGTTTGAGAACGTCACCCAAGTGTACAATACCCGTTTCGGTGTAGTCATTTCCCAAGGCGCATTTGCAGATCTCATTGTCTGTCTGACTGAATTCTCGAAGAACTTCAAGTTCCAAAAGAAGTCGCTACAAGCAATAGAACTGCTCAAGTCATCTGTACCGAAGATGTTACGGACGCCCGAGTGCTCTCTATCCGCCCGTGCTGGGTACCTAAAGGATTCCGAAAAGGGCTCTTCGATACCGAAGCAGCCCAGTCGACAAACCCAAGAAGAGCAATTCTGGTTCCCAGTCCTATTCGCCTTCCACGACGTCCTCATGACTGGGGAGGATCTGGAGGTTCGATCAAGAGCCTTGAGCTATCTCTTTGATACCCTGATCAGCTATGGAGGCGACTTCCCAAGGGATTTCTGGGACATGCTTTGGCGACAGCTTCTTTATCCCATCTTCATGGTTTTGAAGTCAAAGTCTGAGATGACAAAGGTTTTGAACCACGAAGAGCTTTCCGTTTGGCTATCGACAACGATGATCCAGGCTCTGCGCAACATGATCAAACTCTTCACCCACTTCTTCGATTCGCTAGAGTATATGCTCGACCGGTTCTTAGATCTCCTTGCCCTCTGTATATGCCAAGAGAACGACACCCTAGCACGCATCGGCAGTAATTGTCTACAGCAGTTGATTCTGCAGAACGTCCAGAAATTCCAGGCGGATCACTGGAGTCAGATCGTCAAGGCATTCGTCGATCTCTTTCAAAGGACCGAAGCAACAGCACTATTCTCTGCTGCGACAAGCGGCTCTTCAGCACAAAGTACTTCGACGAACGGTACCGGCAACTCATCGGACTTGACGACACCTACAGGAGAAGGGCCTCCCGGCGAATTGTCGCTTCAAACACCTGCTGAAGAACCAAAGATTGACAATGCGCTCGGTATTAACGGTCTCTCAGGCGCAAGGCGACCGTCTCTGGTTACATCGGACTCCGCTAGCATTAGTGGCGGGGTTGAGCAACGTATGCCATCCCCGCTACCGAAGCGTCAGACACAAGAGCTAGAAGACTACCGTCCCGAGAACCAAGATCTTCAGCAACCACCTGTTGTCGTAACTGCTGCTCGCCGTCGTTTCTTCAACCAGATCATCACCAAGTGTGTTTTACAACTCCTCATGATCGAGACGGTTCAAGAGCTCTTCACAAACGAAGCCGTCTACGAGAAGATCCCGTCTGGCGAACTGCTCCGCCTCATGGCTGTACTCAAGAAGTCATACCACTTCGCCAAGCGCTTCAATGCCAACCGTGATTTAAGATCACGCCTATTCAGGGAAGGTTTCATGAAGCAACCACCAAACTTGTTGAAGCAGGAAAGCGGATCTGCGTCGGTGTACGTCAGCATACTATTCCGAATGTACCACGACACATCCAACGACCGCGCCGCATCACGCGCCGATACCGAAGCTGCCCTGATCCCTCTGTGCGAAGACATCATTGCCTCATACGTCGATCTCGACGAAGAGACCCAACAACGCAACATTGTTACGTGGCGTCCTGTCGTCGTGACCGTGTTGGACGGATACACTGGCCTGCCCACCACAGATTTCGAAAAGAACGTGGACCTCTTTGCGCCGCTTGTTGTCGGGCTTCTCGGCACGGAGATGGCACCCGATGTGCAGAGAAGCGTACAGGCGCTCGTTGGGCGCATCTTCGAGACGAAGCTGGGCATGGAGAAGGTGCCACTCATGCCTGCCATCAGTCGGAGCCCGCGGGGTAGCTTCGTGGGTAGTCCATCCCAAAGGAGAGTCAGCAAAGGTGGACGGTAGAGTGATTCTCCGTCCCACGTCTTCATTCAAGGTTTCCAGGCTCAGCACTTGCTGATGTGTATTTTGTTCTTCAGGTCTGATTCGGCAAGCTGTGTCAACTTGTCAGCTCAGCACCTCTCTGTTCTTCTTTTGGATCTAAAGCATTACCACTGAGGTCTGGAAGTCCCCAGAAGGCGTTTGTGCTTGGTTGTTTTGTACAGTAGTACGATGTCAAAATCTGCATCATCTTATCGACACTTTCTATGACTTCCCTTTTGAGCAAGACGGTTAGAGAAGAATACATAGATTACGAGTCGTCTGCGATCTCTTGGTTCTGGTGATGGTAGTCCGCGCGATCAACGTGATCGACAGAGCCGCTTCATGCAGGTACGACCAGGGAAGCTTAAACCCGGAAATGCCCAACGTCATGGAAGCTAACTGCCGTTGCTGGTAGCATGTACCACACAACATGCACGTAAGGAACGTGTAAGTGTATGACGTTTGTTGACGACTGACATCACGATGCAGAAGCGGGTGGAAGCTGCAATGATTCTTAAGGACAGCTCAGGCCCATCCAACGAAACCACAATAGAGGCCACCCGCGTGACCTTACAATCAAGATGCGGTCCTCACTGCTATCAGCCATTGCCCTGACTGCAAGCACCGCAGCACAAATCACCTTCCAAAACAGCAGCACCACAATCCTGCAAACAGACCCCGGAACCTATGGTCCCGAGATAGAAGAATACCACTACTACTACACGCAATGGCCCATCGGGCTAGCCATCTCCTCGACAGGCCGTTTCTTCGCAACCTACACCCGCGGCTCCTACGCCTACACGCTCGGCGAAGTCGTCAACAAAACAGCCGAAGTCCCCTATCCATCCGCGTCTCTCAACCTACCCGTCTCCCAATTGAACACGAGCTGGAACGGAATCCCGTTCGGCAGCAACAACAGCACGGGTCTAATCAGCGTTCAAGCCCTCTACATCACGCCTGAAAATGCACGCAGACCGGAAACGCTTTGGGTTGTAGACACCGGTCGCCCTACCATCACAGACGACAGCGGCGCACCCAGTATGCCCTACGCGCAACCCGGCGGACCCAAGATCCTCGGTATTAGTCTATCCAACGACACCGTCTACGCAACCTACACCTTCCCCGCCTCCGTCCACTTCCCCTCCTCCTACATGAACGACATCCGGTTCGACCTGCGCCCCACCACCACCTCTTCCGGCGCCGGCGTCGCATACATCGTCGACAGCAGCGACGAAGGCCGGCCCGGCTTCATCGTCTTGGACCTAGGTACGGGCGAGAGTTGGCGGCGACTAACCCAGCATCCCTCCACTCTACGTGTGGACCGCGACGTCCCGTCCTACCAAGGCGTCCCGTTCTACCAACGCACGATCGGCCAGCCGATTCAGACGCTGAGGGAGGGGTTGGATGGGATACAGATATCTCCGGATGGGGAGACGATATATTACAGTCCGCTCACGTCGGACTACTTGTATTCGATCCCCACGGCTAACCTCCTAACTCCACCATCCGACCCCCTCGCTGAACTCACAGCCGCAAACAACGTTACCAACCTTGGTCAGCGCGGCGGAAACGCAAATGGGTTCGAGGGCGATAGCAATGGTTTGGTGTACCAGTGTATGCCTGAGCATAATGCGATTTACGTATATGATCCACAGACGAAGATCACGGAGCCTTTTGTGAGGGACCCAAGGATAATTTGGCCCGATGGAGCGAGTGTGGGCGAGGATGGGTATTTGTATATGAATATTAATCAGTTGCCAAGGCAGCCGAATTGGAATGAGGGGGTTGATGGGAGGGTTTTTCCGGGGGCGGTTTTGAGGGTAAAGTTGCCCGGGGGAGGGAGGAAGATTATGAGTTTGGCATAAAAGTTTGGTTTTTGTTTGAGGGTTCGAGTATGGTACTGAGGCTGGTCATCTTGTTAGTTGGTGGACATAGTTCTCGATCTGACAGATATCAAGCATGAGACTCGTTTCAATGATAGTATCTCCATTCATCGTTCATGCTACCGAACTCATGCGTCGTGAAGCTACATGTATGCGCAGTGAGGACGCTGTATGCAGGAATACCATATACAGGCGGATGCATCCATCCATCCATGAGATAGAGAGAAGAGAAACTTTTGCCCGAAACCCCAATAAAAGCCCGGAACATGAATAGGTATCATAGCGATGACCGTAGAAATGTGGTAATCCTTCAACGCCATAGTATGCAATAACATCCCGTAAGGTGTGTAGTTAAGTCAACTCGGGTGAGCGACGAAAATGTCCTGAAAGCATGAGAAACGAGAGGACAGGTCCCTACTCGTCCTGCTTGATCTCAAGCTTGTTCTTCTTGGGGCTCTCGGTGCGCTCACCGTCGTCGGCCTTGCGCTTGTTGGAGGCGTTGTCGTTGCTAGAGTCCTTGATGACGGGAACGCCGTGGGCGTCGCGCTCAATCTCCTTCTTCTCCTCCTTGCGGCTGGAGCGGTCGTCCTTGCCGTCCCTGAAGCGATCGCGACGCTTGTTCCAGTCGTTGCTGTCGACGGAGCCGCTGCGGTCGCGACGTCCACGGGGAGAGCGAGAACGGTTACGGTTGCCGTCACGGCGGTTGTCGCGACGGTCGTTGCCACGTCCACCGCGACCCTGGCCGCGACCTCCTCCACGGCCTCGGCCACGACCGCCATCACCGTTGGTGCCGCGGAGCCTCTTGCGCTGCTCGTGCTTCTCCTGTTCGGTCAACTCCCAGTCGGGCTTGATACCCTTCTCCTTGCACTTCATCTCAATGTACTCCTTCTTGCCCATAACGGTGAGCTCGTTGCCGTTGTACTTGGGAGCGGGGTCAAGTTCGAGGAACTGCTTGCGGGAGTCCTCGGAATCGAACTCGACAAAGACGCTGCCCTTCCAGGCGCCGTCATCTTCGCGACGCTTGCGGATCATGACTGCGCCGTAGGGGCGGAAGAACTTCTCCAAGGCGATCTGGCCGGCATCCTCCTCGTTACCGAAGCCCTTGACGTAGGCGCTCCTGTCCATGTTGTTGGAGGAGTTGTTCTTCAGGCGGTAGAAGAGGTCTACTGTGGTAGGCGGGTCCTTGTCGTCACCCTCCTTGGTGGGAACGGAAATAGGCTCCTTGCGCTTGACAGCTTCGCTGCCGGCCTTGCTGTACTCGCCATCATCGACGACCTCGAGGTCCTTGCTCTCGCGAAGTGCTGCTACAACGGCGCTATATGGCTTGAAGCGACGCATGCGCTTGAAAGTGCAGACGTGGTGAATAGAAACGGGGGTGTTCTTGGGGCCCTCAAGAGACACGAACATGTGCTCATCGGTGGCCAAATTTTGGGTAGAGAAGTAAAACTCGACCTTGGGGCTGTTAGTAATGTGGGCCATGGTTCTGAGAGTGCGAGTCATACCTGTTGGCGGATCTCGTTGGGGTCGTCGGAGTCTGGGAGATTGTCGAATGTGTCAAGGTTGTTGGTCCTGCGCAAAGTTAGTACTGAGAGAGGCTAACTTCAAGATGTGAGCGTACTTCTTGTTGTGGTTGCTGAATCCGCCTCGACCTCCTCCGCGGCCACCACGGCCGCCTCGACCTCCGCGACCGCCATCGCGACGGTCATTGCGACGGTCACCGCGGTCTTCGCGATCGTTGCGACGGTCGTTCTTGCTGTCGGACTTGCCGTTGATTTCCCACTTCTCCTCGCCGTCGGCCTTGGCGGCCTTGTCCTCGGACTTGGAGGGGGTGGACTCAGTCTTTGACTCAGTCGTGTTGGCGTCGACGGTGTTCTGAGTCTTGGAGACTTCAGCGGGGTTTGCGGCAGGCGCAGCAGTGGTCTGTGAGTCTGCCATGGTCAATATGTGTGCAGCTTGAGTCGCGTAAGTGTGTAGAAGCTGCAAAAGGCGGATTTGAGGCTGCGACAAAGAGGTTGGCGGGTGTTGAAGAGAAAAGGCTCAAAGGTGAGAGATAGCTATGGTTCTTAGTGGGGAATTTTCGATGCAGGCGGGCACGGACCGCTATCCAGATTTACGTTCGCCGCGTGGGCCGCTATTGTAACAATATCACCAATTCTGATCCGCCTTCACCATGCCGAGGAAGAAGCCGAGGTTCCATTCGCTGAAGAAGCTGGTATGCTTGCTATTGTTCGAATAGGCGGACAATGGCCGTAGGCTGACACGCTGCAGAATGTCCGCCAGAATTGGTCGCGGTGGTCATTATACGCCCTATCACAGCTAAAGGCGCCCAACGTCACCACTCGAACATACTTCCAGCAGAAATGGACTGCCAAGGCGTCGACGCGAGCATACCATGGCGAACACATACGGGAGAAGAAGTGGAAGCACATGTTCCGGCGGAACCTGCCAGCCGTAGTGGCCATGGACCATAGATATCTCGCCCAGCACGATGGGTCAGAGCAGGCCGCTGGTCGAGGAATGGGTGCGGACTCACTGGACAAAGCCCGGACAGGGCCAATGACACCGTACATGCAGATGGCATACTACCCGCTGGAGAGGAGACTGGACACAGCCATCTTCCGGTCGTTATTCGCGAGTAGTGTCCGACAGGCGAGGCAATTCGTTGTCCACGGCCTGGTGAAGGTCAATGGCAAGAAGGTGCGTCAATTTTCGCATACTGCACATCATCACCACTGACTGAACTAGATGGTCTACCCCGGCTACGCACTCAACCCAGGCGACATGTTCCAAGTCGACCCCTCCTCCGTCATGTTCGCAACCGGCGCGCCGAAAGAACGCTCATCAACCGCCCGTCGTATCGCCAAAGAAAAGGCAGCTGCCCGCGCCGCAGAGCGCGAGCAGAACGGCGGACAAACACCCAAGCAACCCAAGCAAGAGGACTTCGTAATCACCCCATCCACACGCGAAGAGCCCACACCCACAGAGCTGAAGAAGCAACTCCAAGACCTAATGGAGCAAGTCGACGGCGTGCTCGCCGAAGACGTCAAAGCAAAAGACAAGCAAAAGTTCCGCTCCTTCCGCCAATCCGTCAAGAAAGCTATAAGCCTCTGGCGCACCGCAAACCCAGAAACCATCTCGACCCTCGACACGCAATTCGACTTCCTCAAGACGCAAATCGCCGAGCGCGCTGCTGCCACGACCCCCTCCTCCCCCAAAGACGCTTCCGCCGCCGAACCCCTCATCTCCGAAGAAGACCAGGCGCGTCTGCGGTCCGCATTTGAGAAACTACGGTTAGAAACCGAGCATACGTCTGCGTGGAACAGGCGCGATGCGAGGGCGCCGTATGCGACGCCCTGGCGGCCGAGGGACTATATGAGTGCTTTTGCGTTTATACCGCGGTATCTCGAGGTTAATCAGAATATCTGCGCGGCTGTTTATCTGAGGCATCCCGTTGCGAGACAAGGGTTGGCAGAGGTGCCTACACCGTTCCACATCGAGACAGGACAGTTGGCGTTCAACTGGTACCTGCGGAATCGGTAGAGTAGGTGATGGGAAGGGTGACGTGTTTGTACATTATGTAGATGGATCGCTTAACGCGGAGAATTGCAATTGTATAACATGATTTGCGTTTTTTCAAGCATGAAGAGTCTGTTTGATAGATTGGCATTATGGGCTTGCTAGTAATGCAAGTCTCAGACCACAACTCCGAACTACAAGAATCGCGTCTCGCGCTTGTGTATGCTTTCTCACTGCTTATTATTATACATGAGGACGTCGAGGTATTAGTGGGTGGTGTCCTCTGACCACCCGTTGATCGGACATTGCCATGTATCAACATTGCTAGAAATGAAGCTGTTGTAGCCAAAAGAAGGGGAATGCAACAACCCAGTTAGGCGCCTTACACCAAACTAACAGAAAACTTGCATGCGTGGAGGAATAGCAGGCAAGGAATACGTTTACAAGTCGCAGATGATCCGACGATGAAAACAGAAATGGTGTGGAAGCCTGGGGTGGCTGTGCTGCGTGTGCTCGCGCCGGATGTACTGCAGGGGTAGCAGATGTGATCTCCAAAGTGCGCGGACCGAGGAGGTATGTGGATGTAAAGGTCTGAAACCTCTACGTGGTAAGTACCGGGTATGAGTAGCCAAAGACGGAATGATATGCCTTGTCAGACACAAAGATGCAGGCGCTCAGTCTGCGTCCGACTCTTCATCAAGCGTCAGTATGCTGACAGGATACCTGAGCGTCTCTGCGCTCGGCCTGGGGCTCACATCAACAACACTACTATCGGGCGTCCAATGCGAACTCCGTTCAGACGTAGTAGATGCAGTAGTGTATTGCCTGAAGCCATTCGCTACGACCTCCGAGGCCTCAAGATCAGACTCGTAGCTTGGAGGCTCGGTGGGCTCTGAACGGTAACTTGGTAGACTGTCTGTTCGGGAAAGCGGCCTTGAGGGAATCTCCGGGAGTGAGGTTGGTGGGTATGTCGATGCTGTGGAGAGGGGCGAGTACGGAGCGCGAGGCCGTTGACGTTGACAATCGCAGGGGGTGTGGTTGATTGCCCTGCCTTCTTCGGCGTCTCGGACAAGGTCGCTGACGACATCATGAGCATCCCTTAGCTGCCTGATCTCTTCTTGCATCGCGTCTTCGAGCACACCCTCTTGCTCTGAGATCAGCGCCCGTTTCTCTTCGTAGTCGGCGATACGTTGGTTGTCGCGCCGTGCCCAGTTACCACGCCACCAGCTGCGCCATGCGTGTTGGCGGGCTGCTCGGCGGTAGGCGCGGGCGTTGAGACGTTCTTCTCGGGCTGCGGCACGCTCGGTCCTTGTTCGCAGGCTGCTGCACTTGTGGCGGATGACGGCGACTAGGCAGCCGCAGCAGAGAACACCCAGGGTGATCTCGAGGGCGAGAAGGTAGGGTGATGGCTTAGGTGGACGAGGTGGCAGTTCGTTCTATTTGGGGTCAGCATCAGAGTCTCTGCTTCAACTGGTGGGGTGTTGAATGGAGGCACATACTGCTTGAGCCTCGTATACCTGGGGTGTTGAAGTCACGGCTTTCAGGTGACTTCCAGAGATCTGTGCCACCTGTGCAGCATGACCGTGTGCCTGCGCGAACACTTGCTCGGGGCTGTTCATCTCTTTCAATCGTTGATCGGGTTTGAAATGGAAGGATACGATTTCCCAAACACACTTTGCTTCATGGGCGATAGTCTGTACGATGCAGGAGACGCCGTCACATTCACCCAATTGATGCGATAGTTCCTTCGCTTCTTGCCTTAGAACTGAATGAATCTGCTTCTTCTTCTCGGCGATAAGGGATTCGAGCTCTTTGAGTTCCCTCTGGAGAACTTTCAATTCGCGGATGTCGTCCTTAAGAGACGGGATTCTGCCCTTCGCTTTTGAAGTTTCGGTGACGTTGTGGAAGGCCAGACGCAACAACCGAGGAGGTTTGCGCCAGGATTCAGCTACGTCTTTGTTGCTCGCCGAAGGGTTGGGGACAGACTCAAGTCTGAGTAGGGAAGGCGGTGATGTCTGCGGTTTGAACGAGATCGTAAATCCGGCAGGTTTGGTGACTTGCTTGCCGTCGATGGCCTTGATGTTGACCGTTACTACTTGGGCTGCTTCTTCCGTTTCCAAGTTATCACGAAGACAGGCTGTCTGCCATTCGAGATCCAAGTCGTGCTGCAGAAACCATTCATTCTGTGTGAGGTCGGTAACGCCTTGGTAGGAACCGGAACCAGATGCGAAGTCGCCGTTCCACTCTTGGGGAAGATGAAGGCCGTTTAGGGTAATGTTGGAAGAACCACAAGCTTGATCCTGGGCATGACTGGTGAAGCTCAAGGTCTAAGGATGGTGAGCAGGTGGCATGGTATTTAGGTGCCTGAGGGCGGGCCTTACCAAAGACTCGTCATCCTGGTCCGTGTGATCGCGGCCAAGACACCCAGTGCAGGGGACACTGAAGGTAGCTTGCGCGTAGTTCTGTTGAAGGTCTAGCAAAAGTTCAGCAGCTGCCTACGGATGGCGAATGTGGAATAGTATAAGAGGGGCGCGTACCTAGCTGCAAAAGATTTCCGTCGGCGCGAGCAGCGTAACGCTCGTGTTGAGGTATGACGCCGGCGAGTACAGGTGCCGCCCAGGCGCAGGCTGACAGCACTTTGGACTTGAAGGAACGCATATTGGAAGCAAAAAAGAACACGAGTTGAACAGCAGAGCGAGTGTGCAAACAGCGCACACGAACACCGACCCGCAAAGAGAGCGAGGTTTGGCGGGTTATGGGACAGATGTTCCCAGAGGTTCGATCAGGCACCAGTCGAAGGGTATAAAGGCGCAGAGCTGCTAGTGGCTGCCGTCAGCGTGAGCGTGGCTTAGACGTCGGCTCACGATTCAGCTGGCAGCACTATGCATAATGCAGTGTGATGAAACACTGGGATACGGGAGGATGCGAAAGTGTGTACTTTTGTAAATGCAAATGTGGTTGCGATGAAATCTACCTAGGTATGATCTGAGAGGCCATGTGGCAGCATCATTGGTGGGGTTCTCGTCCATGCGACTGCGCACCCGCTGACTTGCGCCCATGCCAATTTCTTGCATTAAGAATTCGCTCTATGAGTGTATTACATGTATCTGGTATCATGATAATCAAAGCAGTTGAAGAACATGCATAGTCTGCGCACAGCTGCCACATGTGCACGTGCAGGTTAGAGGACTCGGTGAGTAGATGGTGCAAACCCCATTCGGACCGGCCGTCTGTTATTGGTGGCCTCGGAAGTAAGTCGACTACATTGGTCGTGTTTAGAGGAGTGGATAGACGGAGTAGAGGGATGGTGTTCGGCCGCATCTCGTAGGGCTGGCTCGCCAAGGCACTGTGGTCCGAGCTCTCGCGGCCTGCGATGCAATGAGGGAGATCATCACTAACCCGACTACGTATCCCGCCCTCGATTCCACTCAGTCCTAGGAACCTTTCTTACTGCGTCGCGACATTCTCGCTGGACCTTTAACATTCAATACATAACGCCCGGTCTATCCGCGAGCCACCCCGGTCGCCAATATGGTACGTCACCTCACTCACCAGCAGCTCACGCCTTTTTACTGACTCTCGACACAGCTGCCATTGGGCCTTCTAACGGCCGCGACCGGCCACCCCATGCTCGTCGAACTGAAGAGTGGTGAAACCCTAAACGGACTGCTCGTCAACTGCGACACATGGATGAACCTTACCCTGAAAGAGGTTGTGCAAACGAGCGCCGACGGTGACAAGTTCATGAGGTTACCAGAGATTTACGTTCGCGGAAGCACAGTAAGCGATCAGCTTGTTCCCCTCAATACACTCTACTGACCCGTATCCAGATAAAGTACCTTCGAGTGCCGGACGAGATCGTCGACGTTGTAAAGGAACAGCAAGCCAAGGACCAAGCGAACCGGGGCGGCCGAGGAGGAGGCATGCATGGACGAGGAGACCACCGGGGCGATCGTGGTGGAGGCAGAGGCATGAGGGGCCGAGGACGCGGTCGCGGAAGAGGAGGAGGCGGTGGTGGTGCTTGAGAGGCGGACATATACCCAAATGCAACGGCAGTCAGCGCGCGCATCGCTTGTAAAAATCATGGCGGGTTCATGTGCGGTCGTTGACTATGAAGCAAGAATACAGAGGAGCGAAAGAGCACTACCGCGGACTGTCAAGTTGGACAGGCTTCCTTGAAGGCTGCATTGGAGCATAACCTACCCAAGTGTCGACCTTCGCAAGAGCAGCGCAACCCTCCCGGTCCGGTCGTACGTTCATACTGAGCATCTGAGGCTCCTCTGCGAGGTGAGCACAACAGAACGTCCGCTGTTTGGGGCACAGTTCCAAAGTTAGCTGCCTGACACGAATAGGCGCCAGCAAATTAGCCAAAAGGGACCCTTGTCACAATGGGCACATAACTGTTGGTATTATCTCTGTGCCTCCCAGTGACACAAGTTACCTAGGTACCGAACACCGGTGATTAGCGTAGTCGTACGTTGATGCGGGGTCTGCCGTGGTCCCGAGCTACAATGCGGCGTAGGCGTCTGCTTTGGCGACTCTCCATCTGCGCTAATTATAGTACATCTGCCCCTTCCTATATGCCTCCTCACAACTCTCTCAAGAAGTTGTTCTGTCCTTGCTATTCACCCATTTCTGCATCTGCCAAGACATTGTTTGTTTACCTGTATTCAAGTCGCCCTTTCCAAGCTCAGTACTTTAACATTTCATCACGGATACACTGTCCCACTCCACACAATGACGAGCTTCACTATCTCGGATGGCCAACTTGATGGATTGAAGGATCAGGTAGCTGTCATCACTGGTAGGATAACATGCCCGGCTATCCTTTACCGACTACTTACGCGCACCAGGAGCATCATCGGGTATAGGACTTGCGACACTCCGAAGGATCATCAAGCACGGCGGCAAGGTCTTTGCTAGCGACCTCGCTCCCCTTCCTGAGCCCGAAGCATCATCCGTCCCCTTCTTGAAAGCCGACGTCACGTCCTGGAAAGAGCAACTCGACGTCTTCAAAGCAGCAGAACAGAAGTACGGGAAGATCGACCATGCCTTTGCAAACGCAGGAATAGGAAAATCAACAAGCTTTCTAGAAGAAGATGTGGACGAGAATGGCGACTTGTTACCGCCGAAGATGAACACGATCAACGTCAACTTAGTCGGTGTAATGTACACCGTGAAGCTGGCCATACACTACCTCAAGAAGAACCCCAACGGTGGCAGCATCGTCATGACAGCATCGGGTTCAAGCTTCGCGCGGCTCCCGGCTGAAGACTACAGTACGTCTCGTCAACCCATTTCAAGACTGAGTGCTGACATATCCCAAAGCCACAGCCAAACACGGCGTTCTCGGTCTTCTACGCGCTCTACAGCCCCAACTTCACCCCAGACTCCCCATCCGCATCAACGCCGTCGCCCCATCCTGGACCGACACAGCAATTGTGCCCCGTGCCATGATCGCTGCGCTAGGCGATAGCAACGTGCAGTCGGCCGATGTTGTTGCTCGTTCTGTGGGTGTGTTGATGGCAGATAAGGAGCGTCACGGAGAGCTAGTGTACAGCGCGCTGGGCAAATTTGTGGAAATGGAATATGGAGAAGCGGGGTTCCATGCTCTCACGAAGCCCATGATGGAGCTTGCGGAGGGCGGAGAAAAGAAGGAAGTCCTGGCTGCTGAGAAGAGGGTTGATGAGGTTCTCGAGGAGATGGCGGTGGAGAATCATGGTATTTCGGTCGTTACTGAGTAGGCATTGGGGCGCTTGTGACCCAAGAATAGCCATGAATTTCTGAAGTCTCAGAATGAAGATCGTCGTTTCCTTGCTCTTTGCTTTCATGCGCTTGGGCTAATATTCGATACAGCGTTCTTCTCCAGGTGTGATCAAATTTAATAGCCTGGCAATCCACCGTCATCAGAAAGGCAATCTCAAAGTACCCGACTCTTTCTAGGATGAATAATTAAGGTTCAAGAAGAGACTGAAAACGAGACGGGATTTGCGACCCGCACGATGCCTTTGTCTGGGACGTTCCTCCCATGTCGAGGTGAAACAGGCGCGCTAGCGTGGCTTAGCTCCAAATGCCTTACGCAACCCTTAGGCAACCGCATCTACTCCCCAACACGCTCAAACACCCAACAAACTATCGCAAAGACCCCTAGAAGCCGTAATGTCACCCAGCGGTCAGAATGGCCGCTCTATCGACACGTCTGACACCGATGCAATGTGGTCTAACCTTCGCATGGCCCATGCAGAGCTGGTAAGCACACAAACATGCAGACGTTGGATTGTGTAGTCGCTAAACCCGTATGCTTCTTGTGTAGAAAACTCGTTCAAATGATTTGCAGAAGATCAATCAAGAGATGAAAGAGCTGAAGAAAAAGCAAGACGCCATCAAGAGAGAAGTGCAGGACTTGGAAAGGTACGATGAGGTTGTTCCTAATCCCAGGATCCTTGCGCGAAACTACCACCCGGAACTAGTAGTAACACCACTAGGGAAATGGACGCTACGTCGGTACACATCGTCTTTAAAGAAGCGCCAGCCCTCATGGAGCCTTTCCTCACTCGACTGCCTCGAGAGATACGTGACCTTGTCTATGAGTATGTCTGCGTTCATCCAGACACCATACAGGTTGCTCTTCCTGGACAGCCTGGTTCTCGGACAGACCCATCGGTTGTTGGATCGGGTGGCCAACTAATGGATGTGTCATACCTGTCAAATTTGGAGGTCGTACCTACCGAACTGTCCGAGACATATTGGTCGAAGAACCGTTTCGTAATCAGAGTCGGTTTGTGTACTGGCATGCGAGCTGACTCTTTGGGCACTTTTCTGCTGCATGGGACAGTGCCTAGTGACAAACCGTTTTGGAGGGTGTTTGTGCGCCCGTGGGAGAAAATTCGTCATCTGAAGATAGAACTGGCATGCGAACATTGGGAGTCAGATCCGCGCTTCGGGCAAGCCAAGATGAGTGACTACTACAAACCAGCATACGGCCTCGGTGACGATTCCACATTCGCGCAGGCTGCTGTGTCTAAACAAGAGGCCCAGGTTTATCCTCTCACTCGACTGAAAGGCCGAGAGGAGCTTCACATCGAGATCGAGATACATACCACGTTCGCCAAGGACGGCCCTGATGTTGAACAATCCGAGCGTCACTTCGTCAATATTATGGAGAGCATTCGGCAAACTGTGTGCGATCTGATAGACTCCGGCGTCCGTGTCACGGTCATATTGAGCAACCTCGACTATGACGAAATGTCTGTGGACCCTGACACGTGGGACATTACATCTCGCTTTGTCCTAGACGCAGAGGAGTGGCGCAGTGTACGTACATCCTCCACAGTAATAACGATCAAGGCTGACTTGGAGAAGGAAAAGGATCAAATCGAAGCGCGAGACCGGGAGACCGGCTACTTCGGGCATCCGCAAGCTGCGATGTACCATTGTGTTCCCGCAGCAGCCCTTGCTGACATGGAAGGTTTTCGTGAGCTACTGTTGCGTCGCTGGAAGGTGCGATATGCTCTTCCCTGGATCAAAGATGAATCAGAAGTTCAATAGGGGCAGAACGGTCGGATTGAAGATGAACAGAGAGTTTGAGCAATGCCCGTAGTGCGTTGCATGTTCAGTCAGGGTAACGATGTAACATTATCGGTGCGCTGGCAGCGGCGGTGACTTTGATACAGAAGCGTGTCGAGTGAAAGTTAAAACCTCGAGTATACACCGCTTACTCTAAGGGCCGCTATATGTATGATATCTATCAGGATCGGCAGCCTTTAACGTATTTGCGTCCAATTACGAGCAATCATTTCCACCACATGGTACCCTGGTACGCTATCTCTCCGAAAATCGAGATTAGGCGATAAGCTTCACATCACGTCAAGACTCTACAAGCACTTGTAGACCGGTGAGAAGGTCGAAAACTTTGGCATCGCTTTCTTCAGAGTGCATAGCATCTGTTCCTATGAGGCTGCTTCTGTTAAAAGTTGAATGTACCAATGAGATGGATGGACGCTCTTCCACAAGCGTTCCAAAGCTTAGTAAGGGCCGTGCAGTGCAATTCGTTGACTCGTTTTACGTTTGCGCAAAACCCACACGTCCCCTTACTCACTCTCCCGTCGATTTCGGATATGCAATGGCCCGTCAGCCTATCAGCTGCTTGACACATGGTAATGTTTGATCGGTCCCAGTCCCAAGAGTCGTGGCAAGAGTCGTGGCGTAGCGGGGTACCCGGGAAGAGATCTCGCCATGACGATGCAAGCAAGTGAGCCCTACGCCCTATCTACAACCGAAAAACGGCCATATACCGACGCTGACACCCGACGGCACATGAAAGGATTGCGACGGCTGTTTGCCTTCAGATAGATGGGTCGGCGATCATCGTGGAGTCCGGGGAAGAGCCGTCTCCACGCCGAAAGGCTCCGCTGGCGACCGTGCCCCAGGCGCTTCACCACTTCGAGAGCTAGTAATGACAGCCATCTACCTTGGCGCGCGCGCGCTCCATCAAAAACGGCGCTGACAAGGACACCGGCCAGACCCAGCTGCGATCCCGCGTGAAGGAGGACCTTCCGGGGGGTGTGGAGTACAAATAAAGCAGAGGTGCGGCTGCGACGTTACGACTTGCCGTTGTTAAGAAATAGGCCGTTCCCTCCTTCTTTCTCTCTGTACCTGAACGCGCTCAGGACGCCGCTCCACCATGGCCCAAGCCCAGACGGATTACGCGGCTGAAAAAGACACGCCGAGCAGCCAACATGAAGACTTCAAGCCAGAGGACGCGCACCAGATTGCGGGACACGGCCATACTGCTACCGACATGCGAGTCTAGCCACTCTCTTCAATCTTCTTTGCTGACAATGTCGACAGCTACGGCCATGCTTTAATGCAATTTGATAAAAAGGCAGAGTCACGTCTCCGTCTGAAGATCGATTTGTACATTATCCCGACCGTGGCCCTTCTCTATTTGTTCTGCTTCATCGACCGTGCCAACATCGGAAACGCTCGTCTAGCGGGCCTCGAAAAGGACCTTGGACTCGGTGGTTACGACTACAATACCGTTCTCTCCGTGTTCTACGTCAGCTACATTGTCTTCGAGATCCCGTCCAATATCTGCTGCAAATGGCTCGGTCCGGGATGGTTCATCCCTATCATCTCACTATGCTTCGGTATCGTATCCATTGGCACGGCTTTTGTTCACAACATTCATGCCATTTGTGGCGTACGCTTTCTGCTGGGTATCTTTGAAGCTGGTATGCTACCAGGCATTGCATACTACATGTCTCGGTGGTATAGACGCTCTGAGCTCGCGTTCAGACTGTCGCTGTACATTGTGATGTCTCCCCTAGCTGGCGCTTTCGGAGGTTTGTTGGCTTCAGCGATTCTCACGCTCGATTCCTTCGGCTCGCTCACACGCTGGAGGATGATCTTCGCTATAGAGGGCATTGTCACATGCTGCTTGGCCCTTATCTCCTTCATGACGCTCACAGATCGTCCGGAGACCGCGCGCTGGTTGACCCAAGAAGAGAAGGATTTGGCGATTGCTCGTGTCAAGGTATGTCACCATCTACTCTGGAAGATACATAGCACAAGAAATCGTGGATTCGGCTAGACAACCCGGTATGTATAGTACAACTGCTGACTTTTGATCCAGTCCGAACGTGTCGGCCAGAACGAGGTCCTGGATAAGCTGGACAGGAAGAAGACGCTCCGCGGTATCTTCAATCCTGTGGTACTGGGGACTTCATTCATCTTCCTTCTCGACAACATCACGGTGCAGGGTCTGGCTTTCTTCGCGCCCACGATTGTCAAGACGATATACCCAAACGATACAGTTGTTTCGCAGCAACTTCACACCGTGCCACCATACATCGTGGGCGCCTTCTTTACACTTCTGCTACCATTCCTGAGCTGGAGATTCGATAGGCGCATGATTTTCTTCATCCTGGGAGCACCGCTTATGATGATTGGATACATTATGTTCTTAGCCAGTACAGATGGGCAAGTTCGATATGGTGCTACCTTCCTCATCGCGTCGGGAGCATTCTCGTTTGGCGCGCTGTGCAACGCGCAGGGCTCTGCTAATGTTGTGTCCGACACGGCGCGTGCATCCGCTATTGGTAAGTACCAGAATTTGTACGTCATAACAAAGCAAAGTCTGACTGGATGTTAGGTACTGTTGTCATGTTTGGCAACGTAGGCGGCCTGATCTCGACATGGAGCTTCCTTCCCACAGATGCGCCTAATTATCCCATCGGTAATGGGCTCAACCTGGCGACCAGCAGCACGATTTTGATATCGAGTATTCTGTTGTTGCTCTGGATCAACAGGAGCAACAAGCAGCGTGAGGCTATTGATGTTGACCAGGAGCTGGCTGGCAAGTCGCAGGGTGAGATTGAGGATCTGGATTGGCGGCATCCGTCGTTCAGATGGAGGCCCTAAAGGAACCTGCATCACTAACGTATCATACGAAACGAATGCCAACCATGATTCTTGTATGAAGAAATACCAAGTGCAATACAAGATGCTTCTGATGAATCCCAATGTGTGTTGCATTGCAAAGACCGAGTAATCCCCGTCATCCGGATTCCCCGCATCGATCGATAAGCATACCCTCCGCCCCGAACGCGACCTCGGTCCAGCGACTCTTTCGTCATGCATCCGAGCACGACAACCATGATGAGCTATTCGGGTCATCGCTCCGCGCATCGAAGCTGCACATATCTAATCACACATCCTCCCTAGCCTATTCACCCGACATTGAACTGCTACGCGTCATCACATCACGTCTCAATCGCCATCAACAACAATGCCTTCCGCCATCGTGATCAGACAAGTCGAAGGCAAGCCAGGCAAAGTCTACTACCCACTCGAGAAGATAACCGTTCCCGAGCCCAAGCCCAAAGAAAATGAAGTAAGCTCCCTCTACCAAGACCTGCCACCCGCTCACAATCTAATCCCCATCACCCAGGCCCTCATAACGCTCACCGCCGCCGCGCTCAACCACCGCGACCTCTTCATCCGCCAACACCTCTACCCCGGCACAACCTTCGGCGTGCCCCTCCTCGCAGATGGCGTCGGCATCGTCACCTCCGCCGGCGCATCCCCCTCCGCACAATCATGGCTCAACAAGCGCGTCTTGCTGAACCCGGGTACGGGCTGGAAGGACAGCATGGACGGTCCCGAACATCCCAAGGGGTATGCGATAATGGGCGGCACGAAGAGCAATCCCGTGGGTACACTACAAGATGTCTGCGCGCTTGACGCCAGTGAGCTGGAGGAATGTCCCGACCATCTCAACGACGAGGAGGCTGCTGCGCTGCCCCTTACCGGGCTGACGGCGTGGCGCGCGTTCTGGGTTAAGAGCGGGAATGCGATGCCAGGACGGAATATCCTCGTCACGGGCATTGGAGGCGGTGTTGCGCTTATGGTGTTGCTGTTCGCTGTGGCACAAGGTTGCAATGTCTACGTGACGAGCGGGAACCAGGACAAGATTGACAAGGCGGTCAAGTTGGGTGCGAAGGGAGGTGTTATCTACAAGGAGAAGGATTGGGATAAGAAACTTCAGGGCATGCTGCCCACGGAGAGGAAGTACCTTGATGCTATCGTTGATGGCGCGGGCGGTGATGTTGTTAAAGTGGGGAGTAAGATACTCAAGGTTCGTTCTTCCCTCGCTCTTTCCGTTTCTTGATACAATCATCTAATTTGTTGATATAGGCCGGCGGCGTCATTTCCATATACGGCATGACCGTATCCCCTAAAATGGACTTCCTCATGTCAGCCGTGTTGCGCAACATCGAAGTCCGTGGCTCCACCATGGGTTCGAGGAAGGAGTTTGCTGATATGGTGCGCTTTGTCAAAGAGAAGAAGATGAAGCCGGTGGTCAGTCGCAGTGTGCATGGTTTGGATGTGGAGAAGATTGATACCCTGTTTGAGGATATGAAGAGTGCGAGTCAGTTTGGTAAGTTGGTTGTTACGCTGGGGCAGGGTAAGGCGAGTAAGTTGTAAGGGCCTATCGGTTACTTCGATGCGTCTCTCTTCAGATACCTAAGTCTTTGTCCGAGAATGCCACACTTTGCAGCTCAGTAAAGTTACCATGTGGATTATTCTGGCGTCCGACGAGCGCACATGGACCGCCCGTGTTTCTTTGTCCGGGGCCTGTATGGGACTAACGGAGTGAGCGGAGTGAGTGAGAGGAGGGTCGGACATGCACTCCCTCCGGCAATACATCGGAGTTTGAGGTTGGGTTACACAGATAAGCATGACTACATAGCATCGCTTTTGAGCCCCCAAAAAGCTTCTTCTTGCATCATCCACATTCACTCCTCTTCTGCAACGGTTACGTCATAGTCAAGCAAGGATACCGCGACCATGTCTATACGAGACTCGGATAAGGACAAAGCGTACATACCCCATAACAGTCTAAAGCAGGATGGCTACTCCAAAGAAGGCGAGGCGACAGCTACATGCTATTGCGGAGCTGTACAACTAGCATTTGTAAGTTCGAGCTCCAGTGGCACCATGATCTTCCTATACCACAAGGTTCTGATGCTCAATGCAGCCAACCACCGCCCCAGGCCTCGTAGACACCTTCGTCTGCCACTGCACGGATTGCCGAAAGATCACAGCGTCAGCTTTTACCTCAGCCTTCATTGTCACAGCTTCAGCTGTCAAGCACCTTCGCGGCCAGGACAACCTGAAGAAGTTCTCACAGTCTCAGACGACTGCTTCTGGCCAGGCGATGACGAACTGTTTCTGCGATACATGTGGAACGCTCATGTACCGGCTGACTGAGCGGCATCCCGAATTTACCCTAATGAGGCTCGGTATGTAACATTCTCCGGTGAGGCGAAGTGTGTACTAAATGCAGCAGGCACCGTCGACGATCTGAATCTGATGGAGGGCTTACTGAGACCCAAGCGGGAGGTTTACGTCAAGGACAGGGTGAGTTGGGTCCATGGAGTGGAAGGAGCGAGGCAGAGTGAGATCATGGAGTAGCTATTGAAAACCAGAACTGGGAAAATGAACAATTACCATGGCTGCAACATGGGGAAAGTTCACTTTACAGTACTGTCTCAGATACAAGGTTCATTGGTGTCCTAGCTTGATGTCGCACCTGCTCAACAAAATTGAGGGTGAACAGCTTCGACTCATCGCAACCAAGGAACGTCCTCTTAGGAGTCACTAGCGTTCCTTTAACTAACAGCATCCTTCTAAATTATTAGCCCTGTTAACAACTACAGTACTATAGTAACGCACTAGATAGCACTCTAGCAAATAACATTAAAGCTATTGTAATTATACTATATACTAAAGTACTATTTTAAAGACCTAGCCTAACTAAGGACTAGACCGCAGTCTAAGTTAAAGGCGCACTCTATTCTTTCTAAGGGTGAACAGCAAAGCTTATGCAGTTCCCATGAACACGACCCAACGGACATGCTTACCAAATCACCGATATCCTCCAAATCGCATGCAACCGATCCCTGCATATCCTCAGGAACCACCAATCGGCCACTAACACCGCAGATCAGGCCTCAAGCGTGAAGCCGTCCCAACGGAAAGTACGCGACGCGTGCCATAATTGTTTTTCTGGCTTGGGAAGACCAAAACAAGTCTGTAGCAACGAACCCTCCCCTTTCGTCGTTTGTTTCGATCCATTCGATCCCAGAACCGGGGGTCGTTTGTTCTTGAATCCTTACATTGTGGGGCTGGAAGTGTACGAAATGCGGAGTCGGGGTTAAAACGACGATTTTCCATGTGTGTAATACATCGATGACGAAATGATATATTGGCTTACTGAGCAAACCGTCGATAACAACAACCACAACAATAGCCGGTATAGCCACTGAACGAACGGAAGGGAAAACACGACCTGCATTATCTGATCTGTCAGCCAACTTAGCAGTAAGGCGAACGTTTTAGTGCTCACCATTACAAATCCTGGGGTACACAACATATCGCGAGGCAAGGAAGGGGAGAGAGGAACATAAAAAAGAGAAGGAAAGCCAGTCGCAACCATGAAGTTCATCAAGCAAATCGCCCAGCGCCTGAACCCCGACTTACACATCCCCGGCACCGACAATCCACCACCAGCCGTGCTGCGCAAGTCAAAGAGCTCAACCACACTACTAGTAACAGAGAAACGAAAAGAACTCTCCACGCCGCCATCGCAATCCTCGCTGCGCAAGAAAGCAAGTTCCATGTTCCTAGGCCGCGGGTCTAACATCCAAGATTTCGCAAACTGGGGAGATACACCAATCCAAAGTAGTGGCACGTCTACCGAGGCAGCAGCATCAGCAACTAGTCTTCCCCCGCCTTTACCATCAACACCCGTACGAGCGCCAGGAAACGCCTACGCGCTATCCCCATCCCCGCTTTCAACACCGCGACCATCGACGCAGAACTCCTCAAGGACAACACAGCCTTCCACGCAAACCTCAAGGCAACCCTCGACTCGCACGTCTACCAGAACATCAACTCGAACTACTCAAACGCCCACGCCTGTAGTACCAGCGACGCCCTTCCTAAGAGATCCCGCGCCAATAGCATCATCCATGGCCATGTCCGTCAGCACATCCGATAAATCCCTGCCTTACTTCCCACTCGCGGGGCAGGCCAAAGACGGGTTTTCCAACAACGAAGAAGCGACTGCGACGTGTTTCTGCGGCGCAGTTCAACTCGCTTTTCCGGTCGAGGGCCCCGGTTTGGTATCGACGTTTGTGTGTAATTGTGCGGATTGCAGGAAGATTACTGCGAGTATGTTTGCTAGTAATTTTACGGTTAGGGATTCGTAAGTCTTTTTTTCTTTCCTATTGAATGGTTCTGGGGGTGTGGATGGGGGAGATGCGCAGTGCAGTGACTGACAGAAATGTAACAGACACCTGCGCCACCTCCGTGGTCGTGCTAACTTGTCGTCGTACGGTCAGGCCTCGACGATAGCTTCGGGCCATACTATGACGAACTACTTTTGCAAGACGTGCGGCACGCTCATGTATCGCGTTGGCGCTGCTTTCCCTGATTGTTCCATCTTGCGGCTTGGGACAGTGGATGATTTCAATCTCGTCGAGACGAAGTTGAAGCCGACGCGCGAGCTGTTTGTCAAGGATCGAGTGAGTTGGTTTGAAGGTGTGAAGGGGGATGAGGTCAAAAGTTTTCAGGCTATGTTGTGAACATGGTGTGGGCTTCCAAGGGCCTGGAGGAAGGAGTTTGGTAACAGGGGAGGATGTTGTACGGAACGACGTGGCAAGTGAACATGTTGTTGGAGCTGGCGTACGGAGTTGGGGGGGCAGGGGCAGGCTCAACTGGTAATGATTAGATAGGAGGGCTGGAGTGTAATATTATATATGAGATGGGGCATGGAGGCCTCGTGAATATCTGCGCCAGTGTGACGTTGTGAGAATCAAGATGTGGTTTATTGATGCATTGCATTCATACGAAGAGACTATCTCGAGAACACACCATGCTCCATGACCTAAAGGCATGACGCCATGCTGATGTTTGATAGTAATGATAAAGAAAAGAAGGACGTTGCAGAGTCTGTCACTGCACATCACATGCCAAGGGTATCACTTACAGCCACTCATCCACATCATCCGCAACATCCATATCCGCATCCACACCTCCCATCTGCCGATCCTCATCTTCTTCAACCTTGATCTCCTGCTCTCCGATAGTAGCGGAAGAGTCATCACCATCATCGTCGTGAGGAGCTGTGGGTGCATCATCCGTCGTCGTCACGGATTTGAGACCACCAAAGGCGTCGTTTGGAACCCATGCGAGATCGAGTTTGCCAACGTCGGGGATATTGAGGGATTGGTCAAGGAAAGTTTCTGCTTGGTAGCGCTCTTTGAAGGTTAGGATGAGGGTGTCGGCTTGCTCGGGGTGACGCTCAATATTTGTGCATTCGGGTATGTTCTGTACATATCGTTAGCAGAGATGAACGAATACACGTATAACTTCTACTCACGAGAAGGTGCTGCCGCAGAGACTCATCCCTCGGTGTATCTGGCTGGATCTGGGTGACTGCCAGACGCCTAGGCCGGTTGTCGAGCTTCTTATTCACTACACTTCGACCAGCATAACCACCTGCACGGCCCCTGTACGCGCCCCGGTAAGGTCCAAAGCCCCTACCCCGAGGTGCAAAGGGAGCGTATCCTCGACCTCGGTAAGCTGGATTGAAGGCGCCACGGCCATGTGTCTCCTGCTCACCAGGACCATGTTGATCGAAAAGTTCTGCTGCTTCGGCCTGTAGCGTGGCAAGAGTTTGGGCGAAGTCGTCGTTCGGGTCCCCTGACAGTTCAGCAAGTTGTCGCTTAATCTCTTCTATCTCCTTGTTCTTTTCTTCCAGCTGTCTCTCTATGTCAGCAGCTCTCGCGTCTGCTTCCGCAGCCTTGCGACGGCGCTCCTCAAACGCTTTCTGAGCTTCTGCCTGCCTAATGGCGATCGCCTCTAGGTCGAGCTTCTCCTCTTCGTCTTCTTGCTTCTCCTGAGCCAACTTTTCCTTTGTTTCTGGTGCGTACCAGTAGACCTTGACGAACCGATTCTCAAAGACGGCTTTGGGACTATGATAAGCACGCCTAGCGGTCTGGCGATCAGCAAACTTGATCACTGCTAACTGCCTCCTAGAGTGTAGTTCGAGCTCATCGATGTCACCAAACTCTGAGAAGTAGCTCCGTATGCTGCCCTCGTTGAAATGCTCCGCTGGGATCTGCTCGACGACAAGAGTCCTATTCAACTTGTCACGCGAGTAGCCCGGCAAAGAGAACGATGCGCGTGCCCTTCTACCCTTGGTTGCACGAGGCTGGCTACCGGACGCTCCTTGCTTGTTGAATCCTCTAGATGGCTGTACAGCAAGAAATGACTGCTCCGGATCGTACTCGGGGATTTCGTCGGGCGAAACGGCTACGGCAGCGTCGCTATGTTCGTGTGGACAAAGGGTACCAAGCGCGCAGAAACCCCTTTCATAGTAATCAGCACACTTTGTCTTTGGCTGTCCTTGGTTCGGGCCACCGTCTTGCGCATCGGAGAAAGGAAGCTGAGGCATGCCCGGCAGATTCGCCCCGAAGGCTGCTGCCATAGCAAAGAAAGCCATGGGATCTGAGGTATCGAACGGTAGAGGGCCCGGCGGCGGCGGCGGCGGCGGAAGATTTGTGAAATTCGGCATACCGCCAAAACTCGCGAACGCGTTCTGTGTCCGCGCATCTCCAGTCCCCGCATTCCTACCGCCTCTGCGAGCTGTCTGCTTCGACGGCCTGTTGACTCCTGCGCCGCTGCGGGTATAATGTGGATCCTGGCCCTCTTGCGACTGACTGTTGTCCCTCTCCAACACCTTGCGCTTCCTCGACTGATTCGAACCATCCTGATATAAGCCCTGAGCGGTCGGTCGGTCGGGTAGGAGATGTGATGCTGCTGAGTTCCTGTTGGCGGCAGGACCTTTCGGGGCCCCAAATGGCACGTTCGACGGATGCGGTTCGTATTCGAAGTTCGTGCTGCCAACTATGGACTGTATGGGCGCGGATTGTGAGGCTTGAGACGATGCTTGTGGTTTCGCGTCGTTCGCTTTCGGCTTCGGGAGATAGCTCTTAGCCTTGAGTGCTGCAATAACGTCTTTTGCAAAAGGCTCGGTGTCTTTGGGCCATTAGCGACGAAGTGTTACGTAGCCTTCGCATGCGCTTACTTTCCGGGCCAAGAAAGTCTTGCAGTGACTCGATCAAGGTACGCTGCACGTTTGCATCCGTATCGTCGACCGTAACGAGAGCGGCTACATAGTCAGCCAGCACTCCGCCTTCCACACCGGAGCTGCAATGCAGGTCAGCATGCGCCTGTGCGATAGCTTTGGTGAGAGCAATGTGTAGCTCCGACTTACATGTTCTCTACGTTCGGCAGCAACCAACTCTTGAACACGGCATGATCTTTCTCCTCGAGTAACATGGCGAATCCTAGGAGCAAATTACATTCATAACCAGGTTGCGCGATCGCGTTAATGTCGAGTTGCAGTCTGGTACTGCGCTGTGGTGTTTCTGGTGTGACTTGGATTGCGCCGAGCGTACATCTTTCGCGTTGCTACTAGCGCGACGGTAATGTCATAGCTCTCTTACCCGTGAGCACGTGACGCCGATGCCCCGCTACATTCACCATCTCGAACTCCTGGACGATCTAACCAGAAGGAGGTGCACCTACCAGGCCTGGACACTGCATGCATTCACTCACAACAACATTACCTTTACTAAAACACGTCACACATGAAAGATGCTTAGGTGTTTGTGCGATATAGCTTGATTTTCTCTAACTATACTACACTGAGAACATGTAAGGAAAAGGGTCATCATCCGTATCTTTCGTGCAAAGCCCCAAAAAACCTGACTAATATCAAGGGCGAAACCGCCCGGACCGACATTTACTAGCTCTGGTTGTCCCATGGGGGAGCTGTTTGCGTCATACATCGACCAGCGGCCACGAGCTTGCCCATGACTGTCGGATGACCCAGAATCGCGAATAAAGGAAATCTAACGCTTTTGCGAGCATTCCCTTATAGCTTGTCGTAGTACTGCGGGATTCGTTAGCATATGCTGTTTCTAGACCATGCGGGAGGAAACTTACGTTGGAAACGTCGGGCACTTCAGTCTTGATACCCTTGCGCTTGCGCATGTCGAAGACGATCTTTCCGGTGAGGGTGGAGGGGTCAAGTGCCGAGCCACCAGTGAGATGTTGCCAATGGTCGAAGACTTGTTGTGGGAAGGCCTGTCCACCAGTGGCGGCACGGAGATCGGCAGTGAAACCGAAGGACTCGTTGACGGGAAGGTACGCCTTGACGTTGAAGAGAGGAGTACCAACACGCTGGGCCTCCTCGAAGACGTGACCTCTCCTGCGGGTGAGGACACCGTAGATACCACCCATAGCCTGCTCGGGAACCTGGATCTCGCAGAGGTAGACGGGCTCGAGAAGAGTGGGCTCGGCAAGGAGAGTGGCGGCGTAGAGGACACGGCGCGCAGTGGGGATGATCTGACCACCACCACGGTGAATGGCATCAGCGTGGAGGGTAACATCCATGATGTTGAAGCGGATGGAGCGCATGGGCTCCTCAGCAATGGGACCTTCCTTGGTAGCCCACTGGAAACCAGAGACGACGGAGTCCTTGATTTCACTCAGGTACTGGACGGCCTTGGTCTGGTCAACGAGCAAGTTGGCACCGGTGGTGTCGGGACCGAAGCACCAAATCTTACGGGCATCGGTGACGTCCCAGCCGTGCTCGTCAGCAAGGATACGGGCACGCGACTTGATATCATCACGAGGAGCGATGACACCAGTCTCGATAGCGCGGGACACCTCCTCGTCCAAAGGCTGAGCAGTGAGGTAGAGACGGTTGTGCTTGTTGGGCGACTTGGACAGCGCGGTGATGCTGGAAGTGGCGTTGACGGTCTCACGGTACTGCACGACGGGGTCGGAGATACGGAGAGGAACACCGGCGTGGTCCTCCTCGAGATCCTTCAAGCAAATCTCCAAGTGCAACTCACCGGCACCAGCGACAACGTGCTCACCGGATGGCGAGATGTAGGTCAGAACGCAGGGGTCGGACTTGGAGAGACGCTTAAGACCCTCGACGAGCTTAGGCAGATCCTGGGCGTTCTTGACCTCAACGGAACGCTGCACAACGGGAGAGACGGAGAACTTCATAACCTTGAGGTTGTGGGCAGTCTCGTTGGTGGTGAGGGTACCAGACTTGAGCAAGAACTGGTCAACACCGACAAGACCGAGAATGTTACCGGCGGGGACGTTGTCAATGGGCTCGATGAAACGACCCATCATGAGGATGGTACGCTGAATGGCCTTAATAAACAGGTCCTCCTTCTTTCCGGGGGTGTAGTTGGGTCCCTGAATGCGGACCTTGAGACCAGAGCGGACGGTACCGGAGAAGACACGACCGAAAGCGTAGAAACGACCCTTGTCGGAAGTGGGCACCATCTTGGAGACGTACAGCATGAGAGGACCGTTGTGGTCACAGTCCCGGATACCGATGGCGTTGACATCGTCGTGGGGACCCTCGTAAAGAGTCTCCATACGGTACTTCTGAGCGGTGACGGGAGAAGGAAGATGGAGAATCATCATCTCGAGGAGAGCGTCAGCGGCGGGAAGGAACTTCCTCATGACAACCTTGAGGAGCTGCTTGCCCTCGAGATCCTTCTCATCGGAAGTGAGCTTGATCTCGAGCTTCTCGAGGAGAGTGGGGATCTCGTCGGTCTTGAAGTTCATGACCGCCTGGAAGATGCGGAAGATGGGGTCCAAGATGAACTGGTTGAAAGCACGCTCGAGGGGCTGACCCTCGTGTGTGCCAACCTTGGTCCACTTCTTGGTCTTGGGGTTGAAGAAGGAGTCACCCCAGAGACGCTCCATCATCTTGTTCTTGTCGACACCGAACTTCTTGGCGTACCTGGAAGCGAACTGGCGGATGGTGAAAGCCCAGCCGTGAAGACCGGAACCGAAGGCGATGGTACCCTTCTCGGGGTAGACCTGGACATCACCGAGGGCCTTGTCGTAGTAGGTGGCGATGACGACGTTGACGGACTCGATGACACGGGAGAAGTTCTGGTACAGGTCCTCCTTGCTGAGCTGGAGCTCGAGAAGAGCACGGTCGACCTTGTTGATGATGACGACGGGCTTGATACGCTCACCAAGAGCCTGACGCAGGACAGTCTCGGTCTGGACGCAGACACCCTCGATGGTGTCGACGACAACGAGCGCACCATCGGTGACACGGAGAGCAGCAGTGACTTCAGATGAGAAGTCAACGTGACCGGGCGAGTCGATCAAGTTGATCAAGAAGTCGTTCTTGGTGGTGGGAACGGGGATGTCCTTGAGGTCGTCCTCGTCCTTGAGGGTGGCGTACAGGGAGATGGCAGTCGACTTGATAGTGACACCACGCTCCTGCTCGTCAGCTCGGGTGTCGGTGAAACGAGCCTCACCAGCCTTGGCAGCCGAGATAATACCGGCACGCTGAACGAGCGAGTCGGTGAGGGTGGACTTTCCGTGATCGACTGTGGTGGGGTATGTTAGCTTTCTGTCCAGCCCGATGCTGCGGGGTTGCCACGAGAGCGCTTACCGTGGGCAATGACGGACATGTTCCTAATGTTCTTAGGGTCGTCCATGAGACCACGGATCTAGCCGCGCAGTCAGTATTTATCCTTCGGGTGTTGCCAATATCGACGTGTGGTGCGGGGTGATGTGTGCGCGGAACGTACCTCCTCGACGGTGAAGCTGGCGTCATGTTAGCGATTGTCCAATTGTTCCCGCAGACATGAGACGACAAGTCCGAGCCTGGAAGGGAGATGAGGATGGCGTCAGCGACTTACTTGACCATCTTTGCGGTGTTGGTACTGTTCTTCTTTTACGAAAATTCAGTGGAGGGGAGTTGACGAATACCCCGCTTTGAGCGCGCGGATTCGGAGTATAGGTCGCGGGTTGAGCTGATGTCTCTGGCGATGCAGTCGACCAGAGTCAGACAGACGGGAGTTGATTATAAGCCGTAGAGGCGGGCGTGCGTCTGGTGAGAAGAGTTCTGCGAGGGGGAGCGAAGGTTTTTAGTAGAGCTAGTGGTGGGGTCAGTCGCGCTTTCCTCGCTAAAGCACGGCCCACCAGTGGCGCGAAGTAGCCTGTAATGCCCAAACTGGCCATGCTGCGGCGCCCTTTCGCTTTGGTACCGCACAACTCGATGTGCTGAATTCTATGATTTCCCCAGAATCGAGGCTATGACTCCACTGATCTCTTGTGGTACTGCCAGTCACTCGTCTGTGGATTACAATGCGGCGGCCCAATACATACCATTGGGTAGCGCCGCGACTGGTGTGGGTCATGATCGGGGGGAAATATCGTCACTTGTAATTTCACCTACTAGATTTGGCCTTGCAGCGGAAAAATGGATGGCTGCATGTGCCCCAGTTGGGTCTTTGTGGCAAGTCTACGCCTTGGAAAGCCCAAAATTATCATGCACCGGTACAATGGTTACCATCTTTCGTGATTTCCTTGCCAACAGCGCCATGGCACAGGTTTCAGAGGCACCATGGTTGGAATCCGTCCGGAAATAGATGACCTCAGCAATCTAATCGAGCAATTTCAGTGCCCTCCCGCCCTCAAGGAATTGCAATATCATGACTCTCTCATTTTTGCCAAATATCTATTGGGTCAAAAGCAGGCGATTCACAACATGACGCTTTGAAATCCAGTCGAGCGGCGTATGTTCATGAGGCTGCTACCACGTTGGGCTTATCCCCGGTAATTCCGCAGCCCTTTGGGCCCACTGCATAGCCACGTCTTATTTTCTCAGGGCACGACGATAAATCTTTTGGAATACCAGTAAAATACAATGTGCGTTGACCGCGAAGCCATTGTCTCAAGTTGGGAAGCCGAAGTACATTCGCTGTCCCGTCCAGAAGGCCTGTCCTATTCAAAAAGCCTATGTTACATCACCAGAATCTCCGGTAACCAGAACATGAGCGTCGTCCCTGACATCTCTCTTCATCACAAAGACAAGGAGCAAGAAAGCTGTGCACTCATTCGTCCGAGCTGCCGCCTCTGCCTCTGCCTCCACGATAGCCACCCCTTCCACCCCTACCACCCCTGCCTCTGCCTCTGCCCCTACCTCTTCCTCTTCCTCTGGCATTGCTATTCTCGGTGCCAGAACCTGCCCACTGATGCCCATCATTCGCGGAGAGTGCCTTGTTCGTGCTAGTTGGCTGCTTGTTCTTGACATATACCGCAGGAAGTGTCTCACTGCGTGCCTGAGGCCTGGTAGTTCGACTGGGCTCTGGTTCTGGAGAGACTTGCGCCAAGCGATCGGGATGAATGAATGCTGCTAGTTTTCCGGGTTCCTTACGCTCTTCGGAAGTGTTGCGCATCACAGTTTCCTGCGGTGACG